AACTGATCAATTTACCAGATTTATTTATTTTTATAAATGTCAACATCCTTTATTCGGAGGTCAAATTAAAGGTGAGTTCACCGGAAATGTCAATAATAATAATCTTTTGTTACACAGTGAGAACACAGTTCTGAGACCAGAAAAACAACCAAAAGGGTTGTTTGTTCAGTACGTCATTGTGACCAACATTAAAGTTTGTTGTCGCATCGACCTCTAGTGGTTGTACAGCGGCAGCAGTAGAGGCGGTCGAGTGACGTATTATAAATAGCGAGGAAGTCCACGTAAGGAGGTGGATGGATGGGTTAAACACAGGACTTTTACACAGGAGAACGACATTTGAGTTTAATGACTTTTATGACTTTTGTCACTTTGGTCACATGACTTTTTTAACATACTTACTTTAACACACACCACCTAACCAAACTGTGAAAGTTTCACATTAGCCACATGTTTAATATCATTTGACTTACGTCACATGAGTTACATAACGTAGTTAGGAGTGTGGCGCTCCTGGTTCTCTCTCCTCATCAGGACACCTGTGGCTTCCTCCTCACCTGATCACCTCTGTGTCTGCTCCTGAATCCTAGGCAGCCCAGCCTAACAGTGCAAGTATATAATTTACATTAAACTTCCCTCTGTCTTCCCTGTATTAAAATACCCCTCTGCTTCCTGCTGATAAATTCTGAGACTTGCTTTGAACTACAACCAGGGGCCTATGTTTTCGTTATCTGGCTTAACTAACCCTAACAATCGCAGTCAGGATAAGCGGTACCAGGGAATTTGCAGGGAGACAGAAAATCACACAGTGTGAATGTCTAAATGAACAGGCGTAGTCTATAATAATGGGTTGATAAAAAGTGTTCTTATGAGCTGTATGAAAATATCAGCCTTATTCTTTCCACGTTAAAAGACACAGGTCATTCCCCCTCACTTTAAAAAACTTGTCGTCAGTTCAAAAATTTTATTATTTTATTTAACACACATTAACTTCATAAAGCAATGAAACGAAAACTCCATTCATGCCATAAAATGTGCTCAAATAATGTTTGAAAGACTGAATCTCAACATTTAAGCTACTGAAAACTCACTGTCCCACGTTTTGCGCCCATATCGCAAAAGGTGGGCGGAACATGACAACAGTCTCTGTAGTAGGCCAAAGAAAGCTATATTAACTTAAATAGATAGCCTACGTTCATATTAAAATTTAGTATTTCAATATCCCTACCAAACTGCTCATAATATTCAGCCTCACTTAAGAAAAATAAAACCTCTTTATTTTAACAGCTGCGTCAGTGTCTGAAATGGACTGGGAGCACATAAAAAAATATTCAAAGCAGTAAGTAGGCTTATCGTACTATAAAAACCTGTAGGCAACAATAGCCTAAGGCTTTTAATCAGTCTCTGTAGGATGATATTTCATTTTCGAGTTTCTCCACATCATCGCTGCAAACATAAAGCAGTCTATTGGCTAAAACAGCCTGTGGGATTTCCTACAGATGTTGATGTAATTTTCCAAGAGAGCTGATTGGTCAGTAGGCGGCGTTTTCACAGAGTTGATCTCTTGTCTGGAACATAACCTGCTCCGGAGCAGGTTAGCCGTTCAGTAAAAGTTACCATGGAGATCTGTGAACCACCTTTGTGGTACTGAAAACCCAGAGTTAACCCCGAAGTTCCCCTTCAAGGGAACTCGAACTGCGTCGGTTACGACACTATGGCGTTCCCATAGTGTCGTAACCGACGCAGTGTCTCGTTCCCCTTCTCGGGGAACCAGGGTTAAATACGTAACCCGAGACGTTACCTGGATAAGCTCAAATCCTGCTTTGTGGTAAAGGCCTCTGTACTTCTTCAACCTTTGTAGGCAAATAGGGAAAAGTTTACCATTGTATTTGGAAGAAAACTAGTTTCATGATATAATGTTATATATGGCACTGCACACAATGCATTCTGGTTGTTGTAGGACTTTATGCTTTAGCGCGATAGTGAGTTCGTCAGCCTTATTCTCAGTTGTCTCTGGCCATAGGGCACCAATTTCAAAAATAATTGCAGCTTTATCCTACATAGGTTACCCAGTTTTGTGAAATGCTTGTGAACAGTGGTTGTTACTGTTCTTCAGGAAGAATCTCTAAAATGCCAACATTTCATAGCAACGTTATAACGACTCACTGTGGAGAAGGTTGCCCTTTAAAAGCAAGAGGAAGCTCCTTGGACATGTGACTCTTGATGGACACACAGCTGGGTCCAGGTCCAGGTCCAGGTCCAGAGAAGTTTGGTCTCTGCAGCACTGGGCTTCAACACAACACACACAGAGCTTTGAGAGTGAATAATGATGGTGGAGTGATTTGAGTCCTGGACAGTTAGAGATCCTCATCTCACCTCTGAGCTTTGGTCTGGCTGTCATGTTCCCCACACAGAGTGCTTTTAGAGGGAGGGACTCCCTCCTCTCTGTCCTCACACTGATTCATAGCAGAGCCCACACCTTCACACAAACACAACAACATGCTGAGAGAGCTGCACTCATTCATTACAACAAGCTTTACATCTCCAAGCTGTCCAACCAGTTCTGACACTCTGCATATTTCATTAATCTGCACTGAATCAAACTGCTGTTGATTCTACATGTAAGCACTAACAATAACACATTGTTAAATTATTGTCCTTTAACTCAGGTAGAGATTATTGACAATATTTGCACCTCAAAGCAGCCAAAATTAAACAGCCAATCAGCATCAAGAAGCATTTCTACTGTCCAGTTAAACAGTGATCCAGCACAATGTGATCAAAGTGATCCTGATTATCAGACATTTACAGATTCCTCTGGTCGGATTCTCACCTGCTGAACTCACTTCAGGTCGACTTACAGACACTTTGCACCTTCATGTGTGGAGGAAACACTGGGAGAGAAGAAGCTGCTCATTTCTTCCTCGTCAGTCCTGGTGTCTGTGTGCATCTGATCTGAGGACGCCGTCACAGCCTCATAACTTCAGAGTCTAAAAAACATCAGAGTGACGTCAAAACCGGTCTAACCTGTGGTAGGTTCCAGCCCATCAGAAGTATTTCCTCTTACCGGTCTTGAAAACATCAGAGCAAAACAGCTTGTTCAGAGCTTTAGTGTTTAAAGTTAATTATGATCACAAGTGAAGATGGCAACTTGTTACTAAGGGGTTTAATTTAATAAAATATTAAAGGAATTTATAATCACCATTTCTCCTCACAAAATAAATGATCAGAACACTCAATATCTGTCAACCACATCATACTTAAACATATTTTTGGACATGTACACACGTTTTTTTCATTACATTTATTGAACTAAATATTTAAACATGACAGTGATTAAGTATTTATATTCAATATTTCATGTCATGACTAGTTGCAATACTAAATGTAAACCAGCAGATGTCAGCATTTAGCCAGTATCAAACACCCAATTCAAAGAATTAATTTCATTTGGTACAGCTGCTTCAGAAAGCTTAATTTCTTTATTTAGTTGTTTCTACTTTTCCTACAATATGAAGCAAGATAAAAACACAAGATGACATTAAGCAATGTACAACACCAACCGAGAATAGACCAGAACAGAATAAAATACAAAAAAACACCATGAAAATTTTATACAGTCTCGTGTTGAATCAACACAGAAGATGGTCAAAAAGAAAGTGGAAAGACAAACATGAGAGTGATGACAGTTTCTTGATGCATCTGTTGTGGTTTCAATGCAAATGAAAACATTTCAGAAACAGAGCGTCTGTTATATAACATATATAACAAAGTTGTTTGTGTTGTAGAAGCTTTACTTTAAGCTTGGACCTAGATGATACCAGAAGGTCTGTGGCTGGATTAAATACAACAACCTTTTGTTTTATCTCTTTTTTTTTTATCACACTTGTTCTGTAGTCTGACAACAGAAACAGAGAAATATGTACATGAAAACAACTACAAAGTAAACTTGGCTGTATTAAAACCCAGTGAAGATGATCACAGACTGACTCTCTCCCACTCTAAGTAACTACAAACATGAAAAACTAGTTTTGCTGTGTATATGTGAAAACAAAGTCAGAAACAAATAAAATGTGTCATTATAAATCAATTCGAAATCAATTGCCAATTAATACAATTAACAGCTGTGTATTTCTTCATCCAGGAGAATTCTTCCTACAGCTCACACAGAGATACTGGCCTTAAATACAAAACCAAAACCAAAACCAAAGCCAGGATAAAGAGGTTCAGTGAATGTGGTGTTGAAGGTGTGGAGGTGGATCAGTATAAATTTAGTCTGTGTTATTCTTTTCCAGTGTGATATCATAGGATAGCGTATAAATAGCACACCACTTTTAAGTACATTTTGCATGCCATGTCAAAGCATTTTAAGATTTTCATGAGTGATTTAACTTGCTATAGACCTTAGCAACACAATGGATGCTAGCACATCAGCTGTGTAGGGTTAACCGGTCGACATGCATACAATCACTTATGTTATGTTAGTTAGCTACTTACACTTTAACGTAGCTAATGTTAGTAGCATAGCTAATGTTAGTAGCATAGCTAACGCGAAGTAGCTAACAATAATAACATCACCCCAAAAATCAATCTTGTCTTTTTATTGAATTTTTATTTACTTACTATCTATCAGATCTTTCATGGTTATTTATATCCCCCAATTGTGTTTTCCCCTTTGACAGTTGGCCTAACTTAAGATATCGGCATTTTATTCATACGCCTTTAGGCTTCAGGCTTCTTTTCACATGATCCAAACTGAATCCATACTTACACCTCCTCACGGTAGGTTCCAGCATCTTTTCACCGCAATAATCCACCCTGGAGGCAGAAACACAATCAGACCCGAATATTCTCTTTATATGTGGGGAAAGCTAAACATTTAATAACCTTTATTCTGAATGATTTTCCAGCTAACATGAAGTCTAACTGATGTTCAACTGGTGTTGACCAGATGTTTAGTAGAACAGAAGAACACTGTGTGAACTTTAGTTATCTGTCCATACCTGAGAGTGTCCAGTCTCCAGTGTGGATCCTCCAGTCCATCAGACAGCAGCTTCACTCCTGAGTCTCCTGGATGATTGTAGCTCAGGTCCAGCTCTCTCAGATGGGAGGGGTTGGAGCTCAGAGCTGAAGCCAGAGAAGTACAGCCTTCCTCACTGACCCTACAACCTGACAGCCTGCAAACACACACAAACACATGCACACACACATAACCTTTATTTACTTGTGTCAAACACGACTCCAATGATGCCAAGGAACTCACTGCTTTTCTTTGCCATAGATTTTATGGCTTTGCTTTGGTGGACTGCAAAGCTCTGTACGCTTTAAAGGTGCTAAAGAAGTTGCATATTTTCTCATCCACCCAGATCAACCCTGTCTTCTAATAATTATATTTATTTAAAATTGAATTGCAACAGCAACACATAATACTGCCTGGATTGCATTTTCTATTGAGATGTTGTTAATTAACAGCTCAGGAAAGTTGCAGAATATTTACACTGAACTAATCAGTCAAATGCCAAATCATTGCAGCAAAATGTCTTTCATCATGCAACAAACTAATAACCAGTGGAAACTCAGAATAATTTAGAAAATAAATTATTGTTGTTTGTATAAACTTACTTTAATATTATCTTATTGTTATTGTTTGTTATCAATGTAATGTATTTTCTTTTGTTTATTATGTATATATACATATATAATTTTTATTGTTAAGATGTGACCTTTGGCAACACTGTTTACCTAAACATTCATATCAATCATACAAAAGTGCTTCTGTTGGCTACACAGGTCTGTGTGGGGTGGTGGCGTCAGTGATCCTTAGCGGTTGAATTTGTGACTTGAGCTTCAGAAAGGCTTGGTAAAATGTAGCTTGTGTGGACACTACCGCACTACTGAAAATCTACAGTATCTCACAAAAGTTAGTACACCCCTCACATTTTTGTGAATATTTGATTGTATCTTTTCCTGTTACAACACTGAAGAAATGACACTTTGCTACAATTTAAGGTAGTGAGTGTACAGCTTGTATAACAGTGTAAATTTACTGTCCCCTAAAAATAACACATCACACAGCCATTAATGTCTAAACCACTGGCAACAAAAGTGAAAATGTCCAAATTGGGCCCAATTAGCCATTTTCCCTCCCCGGTGTCATGTGACTCATTAGTGTTACAAGGTCTCAGGTGTAAATTTGGTGTTATCGCTCTGTGTGATGTGTTATTTTGACAGCAAATTTACACTGTTATACAAGCTATACACTCACTACTTACTACTACTAAATGTGAGGGGTGTACTCACTTTTGTGAGATACTGTATTTGATTCACTGAACAGCGAAAAAAGTGGTCACCAAGAAAATAGCTGAATCCTGACCTGAGAGTTTCTAGTTTACAGTGTGGACTCTCCAGTCCAACACAGAGCAACTTCAGTCCTGAATCCTGCAGGTCGTTGTTACTCAGGTCCAGCTCTCTCAGACTAGAGGACTGGGAGCTGAGAATTGAAGAAAGAGCTTCAAAGCTTCTCTCTGAGAGGTTACAGAAACTCAGCCTGAGGAAGAATCAACCATAAACAAATGACTTAATTACATTATATTTCCATTTCTCCAGTGTATCATATCAAATGTATTTGATGGTTGGTAAATTTTAAGGGGTTGCATTTATATATCACATTTATCCAAAGTGCTTTACAGTTTGTGCTACCATGCAATGCACTGGCCGAACCATCAGGTTCTCACTCTGACATATGAACTGGATAAGTCAGGGATCAAATCACCAACATTACAGTCAAGAAACAAGCTCTACCTGCTGAACCACTATTCATCAACCTACACAGATTTCTTGGAGGCTTTGACCACTGGCAGCAGCCTCAGAAGAGCCTCCTCTGAAGCAGAGTATTTCTTCAGGTCAAACACGTCCAGATCTTTTTCTGATGACAGTAAGATGTAGACCAGAGCTGACCACTGAGCAGGAGAGAGTTTATCTGTGGAGAGACTTCCTGAACTCAGGGACTGTTGGATCTCCTCCACTAGAGAACGATCATTCAGTTCATTCAGACAGTGGAACAGATTGATGCTTCTCTCTGGAGACAGATTCTCACTGATCTTCTTCTTGATGTACTCAACTGTTTTCTGGTAGGTCTTTGAGCTACTTCCTGTCTGTGTCAGCAGACCTCGCAGGAGAGTCTGATTGGTCTGCAGTGAGAGACCCAGGAGGAAGCGGAGGAACAAGTCCAGGTGTCCATTTGGACTCTGTAAGGCCTCGTCCACAGCACTCTGGTGGAGAAGTTTAAGTTTAGGTTTGTCTCTGAAGACTTTAGACAGCCAGGAGGTTGATTGTTCTTCTTCCAGCAGATTGACAGCAGAGTTGATGAAGGTCAGATGGACATGAAGAGCAGCCAGAAACTCCTGAACGCTCAGATGGACAAAGCAGAAGACCTTGTCCTGGTACAGCCCTCTCTCCTCTTTAAAGATCTGTGTGAACACTCCTGAGTACACTGAGGCTGCTCTGATATCGATGCCACACTCTGTCAGGTCTGATTCATAGAAGATCAGGTTTCCTTTCTGCAGCTGCTCAAAAGCCAGTTTTCCCAGAGACTCAATCATCTTCCTGCTCTTTTTATTCCAGTGTGGATCTGTCTCAGCTCCTCCATCATACTTGATGTTCTTCAGTTTGGACTGAACCACCAGGAAGTGGATGTACATCTCAGTCAGGGTCTTGGGCAGCTCTCCTCCCTCTCTGGTCTTCAACACCTCCTCCAGAACTGTAGCAGTGATCCAGCAGAAGACTGGGATGTGGCACATGATGTGGAGGCTTCGTGATGTCTTGATGTGGGAGATGATTCTGCTGGCCTGCTCCTCATCTCTGAACCTCTTCCTGAAGTACTCCTCCTTCTGTGGGTCAGTGAACCCTCTGACCTCTGTCACCATGTCAACACACTCAGGAGGGATCTGATTGGCTGCTGCAGGTCGTGTGGTTATCCAGAGGCGAGCAGAGGGAAGCAGGTTCCCCCTGATGAGGTTTGTCAGCAGCACATCCACTGAGGTGGACTCTGTAACATCAGTCAGGACCTCATTGTTGTGGAAGTCCAGAGGAAGTCGACACTCATCCAGACCGTCAAAGATGAACACAACCTGGAACTCTTCAAAGCTGCAGATTCCTGCTTCTTTGGTTTCAGCAAAGAAGTGATGAACAAGTTCCACCAAGCTGTACTTTTTCTCTTTCAGCACATTCAGCTCTCTGAAAGTGAATGGAAATGTGAACTGTATGTCCTGGTTGGCTTTCTCTTCAGCCCAGTCCAGAGTGAACTTCTGTGTTAAGACTGTTTTCCCAATGCCAGCCACTCCCTTTGTCATCACTGTTCTGATTGGTTCATCTCTTCCAGGTGAGGCTTTAAAGATGTCTTCTTGTCTGATGGTTGTTTCTGGTCTGTCTGGTTTCCTGGATGCTGTTTCAATCTGTCTGACCTCATGTTCATCATTGACCTCTGCAGTCCCTCCCTCTGTGATGTAGAGCTCTGTGTAGATCTGGTTCAGAAGGGTTGGGTTTCCTGCTTTAGCAATCCCCTCAAACACACACTGGAACTTCTTCTTCAGGTTAGACTTGAGTTTACGTCGGCACACTGCAGCAACAGTTCCTGAATGAAGAAAGAAGAAATGTGATTAATAAGTGGATGCTACGGTAAATCTGATAAATGTAAACTTTAAGACATCAAGATGGTATTTATTTTCCTCCTCCATGAAATCTCTTCAGCTCATCAGCTGTGAACAGTTTCTGAGTTTCAGCCCAGAAGAATTCATAGATCTGATCCAAATGTGTGCATCATATTAACAGCAGAGTTTGAAATGGAAACTTCTCCCATGTTGCCTCCATTTCCTCTTTCCATCATGTTAAATCTGTTCAAATCCTCTTACTGCTCTGCAGACGCTCAGCCAGCTCCTCCTGCTTCATTCTCCTCAGGAAGTGCAGTGTGATGTTCAGAAATGCCTCTCTGCTGCTCCTCCTCTGCTGCTCCTCCTCTTCTCCTGCTCCTCGCCGTCCAACTTCTCCTCATCCTCCCTCTGACTTACTAAGCATTCTGGGTAATCTGGACTTAGAACCCTCTGAAATCTCTTCAGTTCATTTTTCACAAAACTGACAATATTGTCCTCAAGCAGCTGAAACAGAATACATAGGTCAGACAACAAAACATAAGCTCATCTGTCACAGACTGAAGGCCTGCTGATCTGAAGAGTGCAGCATATACACTGTTGTGACCAGTTTGTGGCTGTTTTAATTAGCAGTAGTAGCTGAGCTTGTACATTTACACACCATAAATATGGAGTCCTGGTCTGTTTGATGCTGCTGGGCAGACTGAACACTGGGAACACATATAACAAAAATATATAAGATCAAACACACGTATATCTTGTTAAAGATTTTATCTCCCATCAAGATAACTTATGGTTAAAAATGAAAGTAAATCAGCAGACTGAGATGAACTAAATGATATCTCAAGAAAGGTAAACATATATATATTTGTTTGTGTGTGTGTGTGTATTTATATATATATAAACACGGATTTAATTTCTTACATTTGCTTGGCAATGTAAAGAGGTTGATCCATAGAGCTGTCACTCTTTATGGACATACATGTGGGCACAGGACAGGCTTGTCTTTGCTGCTGGATCCTATGAGAAACAATACATTAACAATGAAGTGCAGCCATTAAGTGTTCATTCTGAACCCTATTAGATTTGGTGTGTTTGTTTCTATCTCCTCCAATGTCCTTAACAAAATCTGTAGTTTGAAAACAAACTCATCCATACAATTAACCGAACAAAGGTGCATCCTTAGCTTGGCAAAAAAACTTGTGTATGTCAACTCTTTTACTTTTTGTAAGTGGTTAGTTGTAAGTCTACGTTCTTTGAAAACTCCTACCCCTTTATACCCTTACTACCATATTTAAGGAAATAACTCAAAATAATAAGTCTAAATAGATAATAATCTATAATCAATGAAAATATATATTCAAAAGTTCTATTCACATATATTACCCATACACGACAATATTTATACATACTACAAATTCTTCAATATAAGCCCAGGTTATTATCAGCACTGTGTTTCTGTTGCGGTGGCAGCCCGGCTGACGGTGAGTGCCCTGTGCTCTTTTTCCTTCATCTCGCATTTCTGTTTTCTCCCCCGTGTCTGCTCCCCTCTCCCTCTGTGTGTGCTCTCTCCCTCTCCGCCCCAGTGCTCGACCAGTACGCGGCCCGTCTCCAGGCGGTGTCGGACGCGCTCTGCTCCCTGAGCGAGGTGTTGCGGCGCCTCGGGCGTGCCTCCCCGACCCCTGTTCCGCACAGCCAGTGTCCTCGCCAGTAGGGTTGGTAGCTCGCCCAACCCTACTGGCGAGCAGAGTTCCCTCGCCCCATCTTCGAACTCTCCTCGATGCCTCCCTTTCCTGGGGGAGCACGACCCTCTGTCTCGGGGCCCTCATCGACTCATGCGCTGACGAAAATTTTTTAGATCTGGAAATTGCTCGTTAGCTCAAGGTCCCCCAGGTTTCTCTTGACGCCCCCTTTCATGCCACGGGCCTTAATGGCCAAACCCTCACCACCGTCACCCATCGCACCCCGCCATTAGCCCTTGTCACGTCCGGGAACCACCACCATCAGGCTCTGTCTTTACCCCCCACCGCTCCTACGACTGCTACATAGAACTCCTCCCAGAGTCCTCAGTTCTAATGGAAACACAGTCATCCTCACAGTGGTTGACCGCTTCTCCAAGTCCGCCCACTTTGTCCCCTTACCCAAACTCCCCACCTCTCTGGAAATTGCCCGCCTCCTCATAGAACATGTTTTCCGCCTCCACGGCATGCCCCTGGACATAGTTTCTGACGGGGTCCCCAATTCACCTCGCAAGTCTGGAAGGCCTTCTGCCGTGCATTCGGAGCCACCGCTAGTCTCACCTCCGGTTATCATCCCCAGACCAACGGGCAGACCGAGCGGGCCAACCAGGACCTGGGGGCAGCACTCAGGTGTGTAGCATACCGTAGCCCCACCTCCTGGAGTTCCCACATCCCCTGGATCGAGTATGCCCACAACTCCCAAATCTGCGCCGCCACTGGTATGTCTCCGTTCATGTGTTCCCTGGGTTATCAACACCCCTTGTTCCCATCACTGGAAGAGGAGGTAGCGGTCCCTTCGGTACAGGCCCATCTTCGACGCTGCCGCAGAGTCTGGAGGGAGACCAGGGCGGCTCTGCAGCACACCACAGCCCGCAACCGGCAGTTGGTGGACCACCACCAGACCCCTGCGCCTGCCTACCAGCCCGGGCAGCAGGTCTGGCTTTCCTCCAAGGATCTCCCCCTACAGACCTCCTCGAAAAAACTCACCCCCCGGTTCATCGGCCCTTACCCCTTTGTTTCTTTTTCCTTCGTCTCGCATTTCTGTTTTCTCCCCCATGTCTCCTCCCCTCTCCCTCTGTGTGTGCTCTCTCCCTCTCTGCCCCGGAGTCCGGCTGATGACCTCCGTCTGCCACACCTGCCTGCCATCAGCCTCATCTTCAACAGTATTTCTACCCCGGTTCTCCACTCCATCTTCGCTTGATCGTCGTTGCTCCAGTCCTGGTGCCACTTCAGCGTTCCAAGCTCTCTGATACCTCGTTCCCTAACATGTTGTCTCCCGAGACTAACCCTGTCTTTTCTTTCTCCCCGCCAGGTCCACTCACCTCCGCCATCCAGTCAGGCAGCTGACTACCTGCCTTCTCCCCTCGCCTCGCCTCCGCGGCGTTCCCCCGGCTTCCCTCCACGCTCCTCGTCTCCCTTGCCTCGGCATCCCCGCCGAGCCTTGCCAGCCCTGCCAGCTCCTCGGCCCTCCGCGCCCACGTCTGCCGGCGTCCAATTCTCCCCTTTTCACCTCCCGTCTCCCCTCTGCCTTTTTTTCCCTCAATAAACCTCTTTTGTAAACTGACAATCGTTGCGTTTGGGTCCGTTCTGTCTGAAACCACAACAGTTTCTCTGTACCTCTGGAATATAATTTCTTTGAACATCTTTTTAAAATGGAATATGTTTGGACATTGCTTTAATTCATTATTTAGTTTATTCCACAACTTAACACCACTGACAGATAAACAGAAACTTTTCCGAGTAGTTTGAAAACTGGGAGTCTTAAAAGTTGACTTTCCCCTTAAGTCGTACCCCCCCTCTCTTTCCGAAAACCTTTTCTGTACATTGCCAGGCAATAAATTGTTTCTAGCCTTGAACATAATTACTGCTGTTTGAAATTCAACTAGATCAAATAGTTTTAATGCTTTAGACTGTGAAAATAATGAGTTGGTGTGTTCCAAATATCTTGTGTTATGAATTATTCTCATTGCTCTTTTTTGAAGTATAAATAACGATTGCAATGAATTTTGATATGTGTTACCCCAAACCTCTACACAGTAATTTAAATACGATAACACCAGTGAACAATACAAAATGTGGAGTGATCTGTAATCTAGAATGTGCTTAGCTTTAGCCAGGACTGAAATACTTCTAGATAGTTTTGTTTGGATATGTTTTATGTGAGATTTCCAGCAAATCTTGTCGTCTATAATCACTCCAAGGAATTTCATTTCATGTACTCTTTCTATATTAACACCCTCGATCTGTAACTGAACTTGATTGATTGATTTACAATTGCCAAATATCATGAATTTAGTTTTGCTCAGATTTAATGATAACTTATTTGTGTCAAACCATGGTTTTATTTTTCTGAATTCTGAATTGATTAAGTCCAGGAGTTGCTGTAAATTCTGACCGGAAGTAAAGATGTTTGCGTCGTCTGCAAATAATACAAATTTGAGTAGATCAGATACTTTACATATGTCATTTATGTAAAGGATAAATAATTTTGGTCCCAAGACTGACCCCTGGGGTACACCACACGCAATGTCCAAACATTCAGATGTATAATCTCCCAACTTCACAAATTCTTTCCTGACTTTTAAATAACTGCTTAACCACTTCAGCACTATTCCTCTGATCCTGAGCCTTTCCATTTCATTGATTAGTATTTCATGATTAATTGTATCAAATGTTTTTTTCAAATCAATGAATACCCCAACTCCGTATTTTTTTTGGTCAGTGGAATTTCTAATTTCTTCAATGAGTTCAATTCAAGCTAGTGATGTTGACCTATTTTTTTCTGAATCCATACTGGCTGTCAGTAAGCAGTTTGTGTTTGTCTATGAATTTGTCCAATCTGTCATTAAAGAGTTTTTCTAGAATTTTTGAGAATTGTGGCAGTAGAGAGACAGGCCTGAAATTTGTGAAGTGGTGTTTATCTCCAGTTTTGTACAGAGGTATGACTTTTGCTGTTTTCATTTTTGTTGGAAATTGACCAGTTTGGAATTACAAATTAAAAATGTGAGTTAATGGTTTTGAGATCCCCTCAATTACATTTTTTATCAGTGGATACTTTAGTTATGCATTTTCTAACAATGTTTATTATTTATTTTTCTTCTACAGCTTTAAGAAACATTGAACATTGATTTCTTTCAATAAGATCATTATATCTTTTATCGATAATCTGTGGCTTCGGGATTTTTCCAGCTAAATCTGGTCAAACATTTGCAAAATATTTATTAAAGTCATTGACCACGTCCTCCGTTTTATTGATGTTCTTTTCATTACCAATAAAATCCTGGGGATAATTAGACTGTTTAGTGCCCCTTCTTATAATACTGTTTAGTATATTCCATATACCCTTCATATTATTTTTTTATTATCTAATAGTTTACTACACTATTCCTTCTTACAAATTCTCATAATCTTAATTAACTTATTTTTATATTTATTATATTTATTTTCTACATATCAATATCTTTTTCCTTATATATTATTTCCCAGTCTTGTGAAAGTAGATCATCTTTAAATGCAACCATAGACTCTTTTGTTCTAACCCGTCTGAATAAAGGTTTGTTGTCTTTTTTAGATGTGTAGTTGCTGTTGTAAACTGTAAAAACTGATAGGTGGTCAATGATTTTATTAATAGTCCACTGACTGTATTGTTATCTATGTCATTTGTAAAAATATTATCAATTAATGTTGCACAGTGGGAAGTAATCCGGCTGGGTCTGGTAATTTTGGGGAAAAAACCCAGACTATACACTGTATTGATATTCACCATTTTGTAAATAAATGCATTCATATTGTGCTTGTTTGGATTTAGCAAATCAATGTTGAAATCCCCAGAGATGAACATGACTTTCTGATTTGTTTTTGTAAATTTTTCCTCCATCCAATCCTTAAATGAATCGATACTAGAACCCGGTGATCTATAGATACAACTTACAATAACATTTTTCTTTTTTTCCCTACATACTTCTATTGTTACACATTCAAGTAAATCATCCACCACTGTAGACATTTCTTCCACCACTTTGTGATTAAATTGCTTGCCAACATACAAAGCCACACCACCCCCATTCTTGTTTTCTCTGTTAATACAAAACATTTCATATCCTTCAATTTCAAATTCTGAGCCCTTTTCACTGTTTATTCAAGTTTCAGATATAGCAATTATATTGAAAGGCTGTTTGAACTGATTTAGATAATATTTAATGTTGTGAAAGTTAGCGTAAAGGCTTCTGCTGTTAAAGTGTATTATTGATGGTTGGTTTTCCGTATTTACTGAACTATTAAACTGTTCATTAGTGTAATAAAGGCAATTGCTATTGGTGTTGAGGAAGAAGTTGTTTACCGGATCAATATCGTTTTCCACGTCCTGTGAGTGATGATCAGTGTATTGGAAGATGTTCAGCTCTTGTTTATCATGATCAACAAACCTCTGTAGTAGTTGATTAGCTCCGGTACTTGTGTGAGTTGTGAAAGATGTCATAATGCAGTCAGCGATTCAGCATACCTGGTTGGAGATGAAATATTTCTTGTCTATTTTGGTGTACTAAACCAGGGATGGATGACCAGGTTGTCATGTCTTAGGCAATGTCTCCCCTTTCTCTCGCAGCTCTCAGATCCGGCATCAGTTCCTTCCGTTTTCTTCTGACAGGATCCGTGAAATCCTCGTTGATAAAGATTTTGGATCCTTTCAGTGACTTTGTGCATTGAAGTATGGCAGATCTGTCCTTGTGCCTCAGAAATTTCACTACAATTGGCCTTGTTCTGTCCCCTCCAGGTTTCCCGGTCCGCCAGTACATTTCTACGTCTCGGCCCTCTCCTGATGCCTCCTGAATTCCCTCAAAAACGAGGTTGTTACGCCTGGATTGTCCCTCCAAATAGTCCATTTTGTCAGTGACAGCAAGTAAACTGTCACACGCTTTAAAGATGTCTGATTGCATGGCATTGCAGCGTTCAATTTGCTTAGCGATATCATTTTTAACGTCATCCACATCTTTTTGTGTAAATTGCAAACTTGTTTTTATGTCCTGTAGATCCTTAGTTATTACATCCAGTCTGTTGTTTGTGGAGTCCATAATGATTTTAACAAAGCCTTTGAAGTTGTTATGTTGTTGATCAAGCAGCGCCACAAACATTTCCTTTTGTTGCTGCATCAGTTCATTTACATGAGTGAGTGACACATATTCTTCTTCCGATTTCGCTTCTGCTTTTGCCTTTGGTGGCATTTTACCTTTTAGACTTTGTCACTTCTTGGGCAGTCTTCCTCTTTATCAACCACAACTCCTACCTTCAAGTGGACAGCTGGAAACACTTCTGTCTCAGCACAATGACACTTCCAGAGATAGTACCCAGTAGCTATTAGTTGTGGTTCAGACAGGGCACTGGCCCTGTTTTGATTTGTTTTGATGAAACCATTAATACAGTATATTAGAATTTTCTTCCTTTTATACATTCCTTAATTGCAAATATTAGAAGAAAAATGTTGCTAACTCACTCAAGAAGTTCAGTAGTGTGTTGTCCACTTGTAAAGCCAGGTTGTCTCTCCATAGACCAATTACTCTTGAGCGACACACAGCTGGGTACAGAAGAGTCGGGACTCTGAAAGCTGAAAGGAACTAAGAATTATTATTATTAGAGATAGATAACGAAGGCAGCCGGGCAGAGAACGGGCGCTGAGCAGGGGGGCATCGAGCAGGAGGACGGCAGCTACGAGAAACCTGTGGGGAAGCAATTGGTTGGACGGAACCGCCACGGCCGCTGAGACGAAGCAGCAGTGGGCAGCAGCGGGCAACCGTGGCAGCAGTCGCTACAGAGGCCTGCAAGGAAACGGCGGGCTGATTCGGACACAGCCAGCAGCAACACGAGTAGACGACCGCAGCAGCCAGTGTCCGCCAACGCAATTCTACTCAAGCCTGGGCGACCAGTACGTCTGTAGCCCAGGGAAACCATGAGTAACAGTTTGAGTATCTCAAGTTAGGCGGCACAGAGGACCAGGCAGGGGAGGGCTGCAGAGTCGGGGTCGTGAGGCATATGGTGCGGGTTGACTGACGTGGTCACACTACCCGCCAGTGCTTCCTCTGTTGTAGGACGAGCGGTGACGACTGCGGATCAGACGGAGCGACCCGTGGAGCTGCTGGGCGGTGGGACGGAGAAATCTCCAGAGGAACTGTTTACCGTTTCCGGGAGATGGCAAATTATGGAACATTTCTTTTATTTAGCTTTTTCTTTTTTTAATTTTTGGCATCACATGGATTTTAGTTAGGCTGTTTTAAACTTATAAACATTTTTTAATCGTAATAAATTGTTAACGTTATTTTAGCTCCTGTGGTTTGTGTCTGCTCTGCTCCAACCCCGATTTTAAAGAACCTGTGTGTCTGTGAGTCCTAGGGCTCAGGGTAGCTATCCCTACGTGGCGTTGTCGGCGAGCCCTCTCAACATATTTAAGTTACACCTTTTTTAATTTCACTTTTATCACGAACGGCCCCCACACGTCCAACATTATTATTATTATTAGATTTTATTGTCTACCTTAGTGGAAATGTGTCTTTGACTTCTCTGAACAGATATGCAACAATGATACCAGATAAAATTGCATTAAAAAATACACACAGTTAACAGTACGACACTATACCATCATCAACATACAACAACAGAAAATGGAAAGCAGCGCAGCAGATGTAAATAAGGTAGGTTACAACCTACAAGAAACACATTTAAAAGTGCTTTCAGTTTACATTCAGTGCCTGTATGCCATGGAGAATGAAAGATCTCTTATAGATGTTCTGGCTCGCCATTGGGACCCTGAAACGGCTGGATGGGAGCAACTCAAACTCTGAGTTTAGTGGGTGTAGGGTGTCTGCTGATATCTGTCTGGCCTTCCTGAGTAATGCCTTATCAAATACATCACTAAGCTACCTTTGTGGATTGCCAATCACCTTCCCTGCAATATTAACAATTAAAATTCAGGTTGCCATACCAAGCTGCTATACTAAACTGTAAAATGCTTTCTACCAGGCCCTGCAATGGACTGGCGACCTGTCCAGGGTGTACCCCGCCTTTCGCCCCATGGTAAGCTGGGATTGGCTATAGCCCCCTGTGACCCTGTACGCAAGATAAGCAGTTGACGCTGGATGGATGGATGCTTTCTACCAGGCCCCTGTATGCCATCTCAAGAATGTGTTGACTCAGCCTGAAGCTCCTCAGCTTCCTGATAAATTGCTGGCTGGCTCTCCTAAAAATACTCTGAGTTTACGTTATAACTTAAAGTGCGATCAATGATTGTACCCAAGTACTTGAAATGTTCCACGACTTCTACAGGCCGACTGTTAAGTACAACATGGGTGATGTTACTGGCCCCTCTTGGTTTTGTTTGTATTATAAGTTCTTTGGTTTTGTTCATGTTAATTTCCAGTTTAATAGTCTGACACCAGTCCTGCAATAAAGTGACCTGGCTAAAGTAAGCTTCCTCATGTGCTGCATTATTTTCTTTGAGAAGTTCCACCAAGGCCATGTTATCAGTATATTTAAATAAGCTAACATTGCTGCTGTGCACAGTCATTTATATAATATGTCATTTATATAAATTGAAAACAACAGAGGTGACAACACACAGCCTTATGGTGCTCCAGTATTTATAACATCAGCTCATCTGAGTAGACCCATTCATTAAAAGTCTCTGAGGGCGGTCAGTTAAAAAACTTCTAATCCAGTGAATGAGCCCACCATTCACATTCATCCTACAAAGTCATTCTAAAATAATGTAAAAGTAAGAGTTGCGGCCTCTGTGCCCCTGTGCATAAGCAAATTGAAGGGGGTCCAGTTGATTCCCAACAGAGGACATAAGATGGGTACTGACCACTCTCTCCATACACTTGGCTAAGACTGTAGTCTGAAGTGCCACTGGTCTAAAGTCTCCAAGGGCTGTAGCCTCCTCGAGCAGTCTCCAGTTCAAATTCCCGAAATAACTGAAATTGAAGTTTCTGAAAGACCAACAGCAGCAGATTAAAGAAAGATCAAGCTTAATAAAAATCAAAAGAGACCAGAGACTACAAACATGAAACATAGCTTCTACCAACAAACAATGTAGGATGAGGGACGGAAAACCAATAAAAAAAAAAGGGAGTGGAGATAACAAAACCAGGTAAAACACATTAGACAATCATTGAGACATGTACAGGAAGTAAAATGAGACAATTAAACACAGGGCAAACAGAACTTCAAAGTAAAGCAGGAAACAACACAAACCCACCAAACCTTAACCGTGACAGTAACCCCCCTTCAAGGAACAACACCCAGCGTTCCACAAACACACCAATCAACACAAACAAAAAACAGGAACTAACTAACCCCAACCAAAACACGAGTCCCATAGAAACACAAACCAGGGTGAGTGGAGGGAGGTCAGGAGGTGGCATCCAAAACACAAAATAATATTTAACAAAAACACATGTATATCAGGTGGATGCCTGAGAATGGGGAAAGCAGGCAACCTCAGACAGACGGCACTGAGGATGAGCAGGAGGCAGATGGCAAGGGCTACCACTCTCTGGAGAGCTGTGACGAAGGTGAAACCCCTCAGATGGCCGGAGGAGACGAAATCTCTCTGGTGGTCAGCTGCAAAGACGGTACCTTTCTGGGGCCATTGACTAAGGTAAACTCAGTGTTAAAGATGGGAAGCCTCACGACACCCAGCAGGACTGGGAACCGGCGACAGGACAGAGGAGCTAGGGGCTGTTGAGGGTCAGGAGTCTGTTTCTGCATAACAGGGGAAGCCAGAAGCTGCTGCAGTTCAACAACTGTTGGCCAGGCTGCCAATGAAGAACCAGGTGCAGGTGTCACCAGGGCTGCCGACTGGACTCTTGGAGCTGGTGTCAGCCGGGTCACTGACTGAGCACAGGAAACAGGAGTCAGCCAAACTGGCCCAGTTGCCAATGGAACACAGGAAAAAGGAGTCAGCCGAGCTGCCAACTGGAACCCAGGACTGCTAAGCTGCTCCATCTCAGTAACCCTGAGCTGCATTTATTTACAAAATGGTGAAAAAACCTGTGATGTGGTTTAAAGTCCAAAAAGCAAAAGAGTCCATAGAACACAGAATCCACAATAGAAATCAGAATCAGATTCAGAAATACTTTATTGATCCCTGAGGGGAAATTCTGTGTCACAGTTGCACACATTGCACAAAAGGCAAAAGGAATATACATAAATAAAGGTAGAAAGTTGGTATATAAAGAAGTATTTAAATATCAGAGTAAAGCTATAAAATACAATAAAATATAAAGAAGTGTGAATATGTACAGTGTTTACATAGTTAAAGGAATTGTTATTGTGAACAGTAATAATGAATAAATAGAATTGCAGCAGGTAGTGTTGCACATTAAGTATTTAAGCAAGTAATATTGCACAAAACAGATAATAAAGTCCCGTTTAAAAACTAACTAAGTGTCCGTGTGTCAGACACTTTGAGGGAGGAGTTATAAAGTTTGATGGCCACAGGAATGACTTCCTGTGGTGCTCTGTGGTGCATTTTGGGGGAGTAAGTCTTGCACTGAAATTGGTCCTGTGTTTGAGCAGCACGTCATGGAGTGGGTGGGAGACATTGTCCAAGATGACATGAAGTTTGGACAGCATCCTCCTCTCTGACACCACCGTCAGAGAGTCCAGCTCCACCCCCACAATGTCACTGGCCTTGCGGATCAGTTTGTTGAGTCTGTTAGCGTCCGCTACTCTCAGTCTGCTGCCCCAGCATACAACAGCAAACAGGATAGCATAGGCCACCACAGACTCATCAAACATTCTCAGCATTGTCCAGCAGATGTTGAAGGACCTCAGCCTCCTCAGAAAATAGATACGTCTTTGGCTTGAGTGTTCTTGGCCCAATCCAGTTTATTGTCAGTGTGCACTCCCAGGTATTTGTAGTCCTCCACAATGTCCACACTGACCCCCTGGATGGAAACAGGAGTCACTGGTGCCTTGGCTCTCCTTAGATCCACAACCAGCTCCTTAGTCTTTGTCATGTTGAGCTGCAGATGGTTCTGCTCACACCATGTGTGAGTCCACCACCAAGTCCCCCACCACAGCTCTGTACTCAGCCTCGTCACCCTGCTAATACATCCAACTACAGCAGAGTCATCAGAAAACTTCTGAAGATGGCACTACACTGTGTGGTAGTTGAAGTCTGTGGTGTAGATGGTGAAGAGGAAGGGAGAGAGGATAGTCCCCTGTGGGGCCCCGGTGTTGTGACGACACTGTCTGACACATAGTGTTGCAGGTGCACATACTGTGGTATGCCGGTCAACATTCCAGGACACGAGGGGGGCATCCACCTGCATCTCTGTCAGCTTCTCACCCAGCAAGGACGGCCAGATGGTATTGAAAGCACTGGAGAAGTCAAAGAACATGACCAGAACCAGTCTCTCCAGGTTCTTCATAATGTGGGAGGTCAGTGCCACAGGTCTGTAGTCCTTGAAGCCACTGGGACATGGCGTCTTTGGCACAAGAACGAGGCAAGATGTCTTCCACAGCACAGGGACCCATTGGAGACTCAGGCTCATGTTAAAGACATGGTGAAGGGCTCCACATAATTGGGGGGCACAGGCTTTGAGCACCCCGTGGTGGACACCATCAGAGCTTGCAGCCTTGTTATGGTGCTTTCAGAACAAACTCGAATTGAATCCTTGCGACGCTTTACTTGCATGAGTACATTTGCTTCAAGTGTTCACACACAACGCGAGAAGGCAATTAGAACCCGCGAAAATCCGCTCAGGTTGGAAAATTTCAATTCATGCGAAGGCCTGTCGGTCTGAAGCCAGTGATGTACCTCATGCCACTCCAGACCTCCTTCAGGTTGTTCTGCTGGAGTTTACTCTACTTCTCATTAGCCTCCCTGATCTTCACTTTCAGGTCCCCCTGAATGGTCTTCACCTCCTCTCTATTGCCGTTTCTGAAAGCCCTCCTCTTAGCATTCAGGATGTCCTTGATGTCCTTTGTTACCCACGGTTTGTTGTTTGGGTAACTATGGACAGTCTTGCTGGGACAGTGCAGTCCACACAGAAGTTTATGTTATCTGTGATACACTCAGCAAGCCCATCAATGTCCTTTCCATGTAGCTTTCACATAGGTCTCCTCCGACAGCTACAGTAATGGCATGTGAAATTTCCCGTGGCAGATAATATGGCCGGAGTCCCAGAGCAAGCAGTTCAATGTCCAGGCTACAGATACGCTGTTTCACCGTAATGTGACCACGATTACACCATCTGTTGTTAACTTGCTAATGGCAAGCGTAAAGGCGGGGGGCTTGCCGTTCTAGTTAACCAACCCAGTCTCTGTCAACCCAAACAGTCTGAAAGCCATCGATGGAGACGTGGTGAGGAATATCCTGGTGTTGCCAAGACTCTGTCAAGCACATTAAACTACACTCCCGGAACTCCCTCTGACTCCGGGCTAACGCTGTTAGCTTGTCCATCTTATTAGCCAGTGACCTCACATTGCCCATGATGAGAGAGGGGAGACACGGCTTAAATCTCCTCCTCCTAAGTCTGTTGTCTGGACCCCTCTCTCTTCCCTCGCCGTTTCATTCCTCCTCTGCATCCTCTGTGTGTCCTCCTCCAGACCTGAGCGCCCTGGTTGGCTTCAGAGCAATCAGCTGGTCCTGGGTGTAAACAAAGCGGCCATGAAGTTGCTGCGCAACAGTTGGCGCATGCGCACTAGTGATGGGTGAGTAGTCCAAATATCCAAATGAAAATGTCCAGAGAAGAGCATGTGGAAATAATCCGGAGAACAGAGACTACAAACATGAAACATGGCTTGTACCATCGTCAGTATAGGAAAATGATAAAAGGGAACGAGAGACAGAGAATCCCTTAAATACACAATGGAGAGGAGATAACAAGACCAGGTGAAACACATTAGACAATTATTGAGACATGCACAGGAAGTAAAAAAAAACAATGACACCCAGGGCAGATACAACTTCAATATAATGCAGGAAATAACACAAAACCATAACTGTTACATCATCCTTTGTAGGCCACAAGGAAAAGTTTACCAATGTGATTGGAAGAAAACTAGTTTCATGATACAATGTTATGGCCTGGAAGACTTGCAGAAGGCACTGCACACAATGCATTCTGGTTGTTGTAGGACTTTATGCTCTAGCGCGATAATGAGTTCTTCAGCCTTATTCTCAGTTTTCTCTGGCCATAGGGCACCAATTTCAAAAATAATTGCATAGGTGATCTGGTTAATGAAATGGTTGTGAACACTGGTTGTTACTGTTCTTCAGGAAGAATCTTTAAAATGCCAACATTTCATAGCAACGTTATGACGACTCACTTCTTTCAGAAGAAGGTTGCCCTTTAAAAGCAAGAGGAAGCTCCTTAGACATGTGACTCTTGATGGAAACACAGCTGGGTCCAGGTCACCACAAAGACGCCAAACCTCATCTCGGGAGAGATGGATAATAACAGACACAAACATTTAACATGCTGACCTTTGATCAGCAGAGTGGTGTCCCCCTTTGAACTCAAGAGGTTTGTCCATAGACCGGTCACTCTTGATGGACACACAGCTGGGTCCAGGTCCAGGTCCAGGTCCAGGTCCAGCAGAGTCTGGTCCCTGCTGCTGCTCTGGGCTTCAACACAACACACACAGAGCTTTGAGAGTGAATAATGATGGTGGAGTGATTTGAGTCCTGGACAGTTAGAGATCCTCATCTCACCTCTGAGCTTTGGTCTGGCTGTCATGTTCCCCACACAGAGTGCTTTTAGAGGGAGGGACTCCCTCCTCTCTGTCCTCACACTGATTCATAGCAGAGCCCACACCTTCACACAAACACAACAACATGCTCATTTCATTACAACAACATTTCACATCTGTCATTACTGTCAATTACATGATGCTAATATTCCAAGCACTGAGCAGGAACTCAATGTTCTGACGAAGTTTCTAGCCTGTTGGTGCTTGCGTCATTTCAGGGAGAATCACTTCTGTTTAAATGGAGATTACAGGGATTCAAGCAGAAATGAAACTGTGGAACTCCTTCCAGTTTAATGCCTCCAGTGTCGCTGAAGAAAGAAATTGTAACAAAAAAAATATTACAAGAAAGAAAGAAAGAAGGCCTTTTTCACCTGTTGGAGCTGAGCTTTAAAACACAATGAGGTGGTGATGGGGCAGAGGATGAGACATATTATCTAACTTTGGTGTGAGAGACCCGGGTTCAATTCCCCCATCCACCAGTGTGTCCCTGAGCAAGATACTTAACCCCTCGTTGCTCCAGAGCCGTGCTACCTCTGACATGTATAGTAATTGCAAGTCGCTTTGGATAAAAGCGTCAGCTAAATGTCATAAACAGTGTTTAGGTATCCGAGACATTTTCTTTGTAGATGTTAACATTATATTCTGAGCTTAATTTCCACATGAAAGAGGACCCCATCTCTCGCAAACCCCAAACCAATTATTATTTTTAGTGGTGGTAGTTAATTCTTATCCTTGGAAATTCACAAATCAATCCTCACTCAAGGTCCACCTTGACATGGTTGAAAGCTCAACAAAAAACTAGTAAGGGGATATTAAGTTGATTGTTTTTTTCAAATCTGCATTATATAATATATATATTATTAATATATTATATTGAACTATAGATATTATAGAGTGTTAAAATATAAATACCAGGAAGACCTACACTTTTCAAAAAAATGTGTCTTTATTTAATCAAAAATGCATTTACTATCTTTGAAAACCATTAAATATAAAACTGCAATCTGCAATATGTTTTAGTTAATCTTAATTTCATTGAGATATTAAAAGAATAATTAGGGAATTAAATACTCAATAGTCATTTTCATCCTTCAGCAAACCTCTGCTTATCCATCCAGGCTAGTACAACGTCGGTTAGCATGCTTGATTAAACTTTGAATTTACAAATTTTGAATCAATTAACTTATCACTGGAACATTGCACGACAATTACAACTTTATAATGAAAGCTGAGTGGTTATACTCACCAGAGGATAAAGGTTGTTTTTTAATCTGTGAATTCCACACAAACCTGGAACATTTTCAGCTTTTCACGGTTCTGTGTATGTGCGTTTGTGTGCTTTGTACTCTGAGAAAGTGTATGTGTTACTGTTGTGACATGTTAGCTACCACTGGCTGTGTATTATACCGTTCAAATGATCACTTACACGCTCACTGCAACAACTACAAGTTATGTTGATGTCAGATACAAAAAGATGTTTTCATTACATCTAGAAAAAAAACAGCCAGTCAGAGGAGGTAACTACGCTCAGTATCATGAAACAAAACAGATCACTGTAGTGTCAAGAGAAAGAAAAGTATATATATATCTAAACCACATATTTTAGCTTGTATTTCAGGATAAAACCACATAAATAGATTTGTTTTCAAACTTACTTATTTAGATGATCAGTGTGTCTTGTTGGGAATCAGAGTGTTGAGGTCTTATAAAGATCAACCGCAGCAAAGCGGGAAAAGAAAGATACAATGCCTTAAAATGTAAAACAAACAAAAAAACAACTACAAGTATGTGATGTGAAAGTAACATGCAACCAGACAAAAGCGGAAAAGGTAGTTCCTTTTCTCCTGCATGGAATAAGGACTCAGCAGAAATACAGAAACCAATAAAAATGGTCCAACATTTGTGTGTGTACATGTCAAGACATTTCACTGGTGAGTATCAGTCAGGCAGCTTAATGTGGAGAATGTGATGACTTATTGTACAGTTTATTTAAATGTTTTGTTTTTTGTTTTACACAAAAACAAAATCATAGATTTTATGATTATTATTCTTGTTAAATATATGATAATTAAATATGAATACTGAGCAAAAAACAGACAACGCTGATTGAGTTTAATTGTATATTTATACATATTTATGCATCTACAGGAGCACATAGATCCACGCTAGTACGAAAAAACCATACAGTACATTCACATAAGCACAGACACACACACACCACCCTTATATAAATTGTCCTCTCACACACTGTGAGTAAGGACCTTATGTCTTATGCCAGGATCAGATCCAACATTCAGCGTTGCTCCAGTTGAATCCCGTGTCTCATGTTATCTGGACTTTCAAACAGTTTCATGGGACATTGAGTTTGATCCGACTCTGTTGGAACCAGTATGTATATAAGTTATATATCAAGACGTGTACTAATGCAAGTGTGTAAGTCTGTCTGCAGAAATGTACTGACAGGAAGTCTACAGTGGATGGTGTGACTGAAGGTAATGACACATGGAGCGGACAACAACAAGAAAATAACAGGAACCGAGTCTTGGCCCTGAGAGGCGTCTGAGCTTAACTTACATAGTTCCTGGAACAGTACTGTACAATAATATATGTGACGTTGATCATGTTTCATGTTGCTGCTGCACCCCCTTTCTCTTTAGAGCAGCAACATGCATGTAACTAGGGAACTGAATATAATAAAGAGAGGAAACCGAAGAGATACCTCAGAGCGGTTGGAGTTTGTAACTGAGTACATCTCTGTCCGTTCTCCTCCTTGTCTGATATATTATAGGTGTCTCAACCTGACAGACTGCTTGATGATGGCATGTTTGTGATAGCAAGAGATATTTAGATAAGACAGAGTTTCACTTTCTTGACTACTTTTTATTGTTTTGTTTGTTTGTTTGGTTATTAGACAGACATTCAATGTGCTGACTGTATTTTAAGTGTAATCCTGCAGAGGTTCTCTTTAGTCCTCTTAGTGTTCCTCTCTTGTCTTGAAAAGTAGGTTGGAAATCACTGTAGAAGACTGAGATGAACAAATAAGCATTTTCACCAAAAAGTAAATATATACATAAATCCCTATAAACCTCATGTTGGGTCTAATCACTGAGACTTGATCCTCCATCACAGATTTATTCACTGATCTAATCTTTAGCTGGTTAGTTAGCAGCATCTAGTGGACAGAGAATGAAACTACACATCTGATCTGTGATGTTAGATGTAAGAAATAAAAGCTTTTGTTCTTGTAGCCTTCATCAAATATCAAAACAAATGGATCACAGACATTAAATAGGTACAACCCCCCACCACTCAGGTCAGGGAGAGGAACAAGGAAATAAAAATACTTCTGATGAGGTGGAGTCTGCCAAAGGTTAGACCGGTTTGGACGGTTGATAGATCAAATTTTCCAATAAGACATTTTTTTGCATGCTCTAAATTTGGGACTTGACAAATACAGTATCTCACAAAGGTGAGTACACTCCTCACGTTTGTGTAAATATGTGATATCTTTTCATGTGACAACACTGAAGAAATGACACTGCAGTGTAAAGTAGTGAGTGTGCAGCTTGTTTACAGTGTAAATTTGCTGTCCCCTCAAAATAACACAACACACAGTCATTAATGTCTAAACCGCTGGCAACAAAAGTGAGTACACCCCTAAGTGAAAATGTCCAAATTGGGCCCATTTTCCCTCCCCAGTGTCATGTGGCTCATTAGAGTTACAAGGTCTCAGGTGTGAACGGGGAGCAGGTGTGTTAAATTTGGTGTTGTCGCTCTCACACTCCTTCATGCTGCTCACTGGAAGTTCAACATGGCACCTCATGGCAAAGAGCTCTCTGAGGATCTGAAGAAAAGAACGGTTGCTCTACGTAAAGACGGCCGAGGCTGTGAGAAGACCGCCAAGACCCTGAAACTGAGCTGCAGCCGTGAGGCTGATGTAGGGATAGCCAGTCAACATGCATGTATTCACTGTCTTAGGTTTAGGCACTAACTTCTATGACAGTTAAGTTTAGGGTAAGTTGCCTCAGGGGACTGTCAATGTCTTAAACACAAACTTTGTTAGCTAGCTAGCTAGCTACCTAACGACCAGAAGCATTACTAGTGTGTAGGTCGCCAGTCCATCGCAGGATCATATTTAATTTGGAAAATGGAAATTTGTCATGTTTAATTAAAATGAGAGAAATTAAATTGACGTAAAGAGGAAAACTTGATCATTTTGGGAAAACATGGACACAATTATATCCAACTGTTTCATGATACTGTCTCAATCTGTCTATATTGTATTTATGTATTTATGTGTTCTCTATACTGTAGCCTATGTCTGTTTTTATTATTGTATAAGTAAGCACATTGTGAGCAATGTACAATCCAGGGTCATATACCTGGCAATTAATCTGATTCTAATCACTGGGATAAAATAAGAGAAATAAGAGTGCTGCTTGTGTGCATCTGTTTAAGATGCATGTTTGTGTGCTGGGATACTTCTTTTGTGGATAACTTGGAAAATTCCATAAAGTTATACATTTTTAAAAATACATAAAGGATGAAATTTTGTTTTAATTTAAGACATAATCTAGATGACAATTATTTTTATTTTGGATTGGTTCAAATCTGTGACCCATGAATCTGTTTAACTATTTGGTTTCTGGCACACCTGTGTAGTGCAGTTCAGCTTCAAAAACTACTGTTATGAGTCATCTTTGCAGAGCTGAAACTATTTTGGTTGGACAAAACAAGCTATTTGAATCATTCACACTGAGCTAATAAGAACAGAAACAGGCAGTTCACTTCACTGTGTTACTTTTTTGTTGTATTTATTGTAGTAATGCTATTCTACACAAATTTTAGTAAGTAAGTAAAAGTAATATCTATTTATTTAACATTATATCTTTAAATTTAATTCCTGGAAGATAAATCTGAATAAAGTGAAGTTGGCTGTAAAGTACAAAACATGTATTTAATTACATTTTATTGTAATTCAGGGAGGTCTAGACAAAATGCACTTACGGGTAGTCAAGTATGTTTTTTTTTATTGATCTTTATTTTGGTCTATACTTAATATATAAATAATAATAAATGAAATCTGAAAAAGATTAAACAGCATGAACAAGTAGATAATAAAACAGATTGTAACAATGAAGACAGAGCTTATTAAAACTACACATATCACAGAAAAATGGTATATGTGTATCTTATATAAAAGCTGCACAGTCCAGACAATGAATTAAAAAGGTGGTTATGCATTTATATTTATACACATGCATCAATTATCATGCATTTTTGTGGTTTGTTTAATTAGGACGATAAATGAGCCATTAAAGTGCATCCTCAGTGACTTCTATAGTGTTAATAAAGTACAGACACAACATCACACTTCTAAGTTAAAATAAACATCAGTGGAATATTCAAATTTTACTCATTCAGGCTAAAAGTAAAAACACCACAGAATAAAAACGCTTTATTACAAATAAACGTTTGTTGTACTTCTTTTGTTGTTGAACTTGAGTAAAAGTACAAAAGCACAGTGTTATATCGTTTTGGATCACTATTATTACTGTATTAATATTTAATTTAAAGTTTTAAATGTACTTTTAAAATCTACCCACCAGCATTTAAAGGAGTTAAAATGACATCACATTACTGCAGCAGGAACATTAATCCAGAAACATAATGCTGAAACACTGACAGGAACATTTTACTCCTAGATGAGTATTTTCAGTTACTGTAAAGGGTCTGAATACTTCTTTGAGTACACGCAGCGCAGTATTGGCAGGATCAGCCTTTTTAACGCCCTTGTGTTTACAAACTTGTTGCAGCTGATTGGGTAACACCTGAGACACGCCCACCTACGGGAGAAAACAGACCCCGGAGCCCGTGCCAGGACGTTGCGCAACGTTTCAAGGAAACATGCCGTTCAACGTGAAAACGTTAGAAACCGGAGCAAAACGTTGTGAGACTGAACTCGTCCCCGGTGTTTAACTTCGAAACACTGACACTTCCTGTACTCGGGGCTCCTTCCGTGTTCCTGGTCCCTGCAGGCCGCCCCTCCTCCGCCCCTCCTCCGAGCCTCCGCCCTGCTCGGTGCAGTTTCCTCAGGTGGAGGAATGTGACGGTGTCCGCGTGCAGCAGGCTTCACCTCTGCGGGACAAACCATGGGAGGAAACCCCCGAACCTGAGCCGGACTTTACTGAGAGGCTGATTTAACATGAGCAGGAGCCAGACCCGGACCCAGGAGAGGATCTCTGGCTCGGACTGAAGGCAGCCCAGGTGCGGTCGCTTACCTGAGCCTGCGGGTTTGGCTGTGTGTCAGAGTCTGTACACCGGGACGGCTCGGCCTGTTCGCAGCTCGCGATGCCGGAGCTCATCACCGTGACCGAGTTCATCTCGGAGACCAACGAGGACTACAAAGCCCCGACCACCTCCAGCTTCACCACCCGGATGTCCCACTGCAGGAACACGGTGGCGGGTCTGGAGGAGGTGAGACACGCACACACATACACACGCACGCGCCCGCACACAAGGAAATAAACTGTGAGATACAAACAAACAAACAAACTTAGTCTTTACAGTGTTTTTTCTTAAATAAAGTTGTTAAACTTCCTCCTCTGACCGCCAGGAGGGAGGAAATCAGTCATTAATAAGAAATAAATGATCACCCAGAACATCAAGTTATTGTTTGTTCCCATTTGTATTTAAACCCGTGATCTTTGTCATCACTTCCTGTATTAGAAACTAGTAATTAAAGGTACTTCAGTTTGTTTCCGGCTGTTTAAAGGAACAGATTCCGTCTCTGTAGGCAGAAAACAAACTGGTTTATACAGATTCTTAGGAGGAACCTGAAGGGGACTGTGTGCTTCAGGGTCTCCGCCCCCCCCCTCCTCCTCCTCCTCCTCCTCCTCCTCCTCCTCTTCACATTTCCAGGCAGTAAAAGTCGTTTATTTCACTGAAAAGAGGAACAGAGAGCCACTTCCTCGTGCTCCCCTCTGTTGTAAGAGCTCAGAGCTGCTGCTGTGTTTTGCAACACATGTTGGTGATGATGATGATGATGGTGATGATGATGATGATGGTGATGATGGCGGTGGTGGTGGTCGTGGTGCAGGTCAAAGGTCGCCTGCTGAAGACATACAACATACGAGTATCACTGTCACAAGTACTGTTACTACAGAAACTACTGTAGTAACAGTACTTGTAAGTTGTAATACTGCTGCTGCTGCAGGTCTCCAGCTGCTCTGAAAACATCTGAATAGACTTTAAAACATCCAGAGTGAGTTCACTCAGCTTTGGTCACAAGTATGCAATATATACAACAGTCGGCTGCATCACATTGAACTCGGCTGCTGACTGAGACAGTTAAGTTGTAGTTAAGTGTGCGTACTTGTACGTGTACGTTTTCATGCTTAAAATACAACCTAATATATTTTGGACAACTTAGTTAAAAGGCTAGATTTTAATATTTAAGTATTAAAATTAATTTGAGTAAATTAAAGTATTTAAAAGCTTCCTGGACTCTCAGCAGCGAGTATAGACAGGAGTACACAGAGAAACACTTTTATCCAAAGCGACTTACAGCTGCTGTACGTGTCAGAGGTCGCACGCCGCCGGAGCAACGAGGGGTTAAATGTCTCGCTCAGGGACACAATGGTGGGTGGGTCACAGTGGGGATTGAACCCGGGTCTCTCACACCAAAGGCATGTGTCTTATCCACTGCGCCATCACCACCACTGAATGTTTGAGGTCTGGGCAGCATGTTGGATCTTCCCTCCTCCTGTTGCATGCTGGGACGTCACGCCCAGCAGACCTGCGGCAACGAGGAAACCTCACACATCTGATCGAGTCCCAACAAGACCAGGCTGCCCCCCACCCCCCCTTTAAGGATCCTACCTCTGGCTGTCAGTCCTCTCTTCTTTGTACTTCTGTCTGTTCACTCCCTCCTCCTCCTCCTCCTCCTCCTCCTCCTCCTCCTCCTCCTCCTCCTTCTCTCAGTGTTTAGTTATTTCTTGTGAGGCGTTCAGGGCTTCTTGTGTTCTTGCGTCCCAGAGGAGGTGAGGGTTGTGAATGTGTGGAGCGAGTCTGGAGCCACATTGAAGGTTTTCAGTTGTTGGTGAGGAAGTTGAGGCTCCTGGAGGAGTTTCAGAGGGGCCCCTGAATGTTTTCCTGAGGCGTCTGTGTGATTAAGAGATTAAATCATTTAAATAATTATCACAGTTGTTGGTTGATTCATTTATGTTCTTGCACTTGAGGCTGCAACTAACGATTATTTACCGACTGATCTGCAGATTATTCTGATGATTAATCGACTAATCGTTTAGTCTATAAAATGTCAAGAAATTATGAAAAATGCTTCTTTTGTCCAAAACTCTTCATTTACTCAGAAACGTTAACAAATCGCAGCAGTTTTTTACATTTAAGTAGATGAAACCAGCTAGTTTTGTGTCTGAAAGGATTATTATCGTTGTAGCTGTTTTTGCACTGTATGTTTATTTGTGTGTGTCGAGCTCAATGAGTCCTGCAGAGATTCAGGAGGCTCAGATGTGGAACCGGTCTGGTCTGTAGTCCCAGTTGAGCTGCCGGACTTTCTGCATGTCTCTGTCTCTGAGTCACTGAAGCTGGTTAAACTGCTGACGGCGCTCCTGTTCCCGCCGACAGCCTCAGGTGACGCCACGCCGAACGCATGAATCACTTCACTTCTGGATTTTGGGTGAAGTTGTTGCTGACTGATGAGGCGCTCAGAACCTCTGTGGCCGCTGAGGCTCATGGGAACTGTGGTTTATTATCATTCTTCCTGTCCTTCTGTATAAAGGCCCGTTTCCACTTTACATCATGGTTGGATTGTGGCGCTGACGGCATCCTCACGAGGACTTCTGTCCGTTCAGAAGGACCTTTCTCTCTTTCTGTCCGGCCGCCCAGTTTGAATAAAGTTTATTAGAATTGTCACTGAGCTCAGTTCAGAAGGAGAACGATACAGGTGGTGTGAAGTAACACAGCAGGCTGGATCAATAAAAGGTTCTGAGCTGGTGAAGTTACTGCTCAGCCGTCGAGATAAAGAGCATCTCAGATCTATAAACTCAGCTGGTAGCAGAGTGCAGGGGAGCATGTAAGTGAGTCAACATCCACACAGAGGAACCACATGCTGCTGCACTAACAGAGGAGGGCGGTGCCAGAAGACTAAATGTGGCCCCCAGAGGTTTCTCTGTGGTGCTGACGAGGCTTTAAAAGTTCTTGTGAGGTGTTCAGAGGGAACCGCAGCATCTGTGAAAGCTTCTCGCAGGCCGCTACGCTGTCACAGAGCTCTTTAAAGAGAAACGGTTTTGCAGTTTGGGCAGAGGTCAGCTCTGTTGCCTCACAGCAAAAAGGTCTTGGGTGGAACCTTGGTGGTCCCAGGCCTTTCTGTGTGCAGGTTGCAAGTTCTCCCTGTGTCTGCCTTTTGTCCAGTGTCAGCTGGGATTTTAATGCTCACTCCAGGCCGTTCAAGGCTCTTTGAAGGATTTTCCAGAAGGTGTTGAAGAGCTTACAGAAGTCCTTGAAAGGTTTCCAGGGGTTCTTTAGTGGATTCCAGGTCTGTGATTCAGTTTCCTTTCACCAGGAGACCTTAGACCTTCTGTTTCCTTGATTACGTGCAGTCTGTTCTGTAAGGACTCAAAGACAAACACAGACCTGAAGTCACCTGATCAGAGAAGCTGATCGTTTAACCTCCAGGTCGTTTTACTGAGAGGGGTTCGTATTTTCACATGTGGCTTCATCTCCTGTTCAGAGTTCAAACATTTTAACACTTCTAACGAGCAGCTGGAGTCTGTTGTTCTTAAAGTTCAACATAAAAGAGTCCACTAGACTTTTAAAGGTTTATAACTTGTATAAAATCTGGTCACCGGTTTGTGGATGTTGACTGGCAGCAACCCTGAATATCATAAACTGCTTTTTCACTCCCTTTAATTGAAAAAGCTGTACATTTAATGTGTATTTTTATTTTACAGATTCTTGTCTTTAAAGTATTTTGAACATGTCCTGACTGCGTTTGTCCCCTACAGGTCCTGGACTTGGACAGATCGATTCTGTACAAGATCAAGAAGTCGGTGAAGGCCATCAACACGTCTGGTCTGGGTGAGTGACAGTTTCACCTCATTCTGTCCAAAAATACCGACGCTTCTCACCACAGAGCTTCTGCATGTCACTTCCTGTCTGCTCAGACTCGAGCTGCCAACATCTCACCTCCCTTTATCAAACATTCAGACTGTAACTCTCGTCGGTCTCATTTAACCTGCTGATCGTTGTAGATTCACTCAAATGTGACTCCATGACAGCATTATGCTTTCGGCTTGCCGAATGACGGGAATTGTAGTCCTAAAATTCAGAACATGTTTGCCAAGTATTCAGTGTGTCCCCCCTGGGCAGGAGAGGAGGGGGATCTCTCCTGAACGATGACACACATCCTTCACTCTGCACTGTTACTTCTGTTTATATGCAGCAGCAGAGTTTGAATTAATATCAGTTGTTACCAATAAAAAGTTCAATTGTATATTATTATTATTATGTTTTCAGTCCCTTTTCCTCAACAAAATAAATATCTTAGTAGAAAGATTCTGAAAGATTCCTGATTAAAGTCTGTCTGTCTTTACCCCAAATAGAAATAACAACAGAGTGACAAACACCATCAAAGTTCGATTTTGGGTTTTGTGCTGTCGATGCATCTGTCAGGCTCAGACTCTCCCGTCTGTTGCTTCTTATACGTGCAGAGACAAGCCTGTGAAACAGGAGGGAAACTGTCTCCGTTCTGATCTTGAAGGGAATTTACAGACAGCTGAAATATTTAAAAGGATAAAAGGTTGAATTGTCTCCTAGAGGCACAACTAAAAAGGCGACAGTTGACCTAAATATGAAATGAAACAAATATAGCATCCACTGTTACATCACGAAGAGTGAAACATTCAGTCAAATGAAACGTGCGGAGCGGGATGGGTGGTGCTGATGGAGCTCCCTGCTGAAACACAGCTGAAAGTGATCTGTTATGAACCCAGCTGGTTCAGTTCCTCGGTGTGGTGGGGTTGTGTTCGGGCAGGTGGAGTCTCACCTCCACACATTCCTGTCATACCGCTGTCCTGTCCCAGCATGCAGAGGGAGAGCCCGCCTGTCTGCGGACACAGAGAGAAGAAGAGACTCAAACAAAGATGGTTCGTTGATCTAAACAAAAACATTTGGCACAAAGCTTCTGAAACACCCTGTCCTTCGCTTTGTAGCGTGTTTGACCTTTTAAAGCAGCTCTAATAGTTTTTCTAACACCTCTGTGTGAGCTGACTGAAGATTCAGCTGCTGATTCTCTAAGAGACTCTGAGCTGGTTGTTAATCTCTCCGGATGCAGCTTCCTGTTCTGCTTCACTGTCAGAGCGTCGATTCAGAGAAGAAGAAGCTGTTTGAAGCTGCCGAGCACAAACTCAAGTTTGACTTTAACACCAGTGACTCGTGACTTCAGTTGGACTTAATGCCCAAATATAACTGATGATATATAAAAAAAACCTGACCTGTCTTTTTTATAGAGGCCTACAGGTTATTTAATAAAGTTAAATAACTCTTAATTCTTTAACTCTTATTAAAATGACTAGTACAGGGCCCGTTCACAGGGCTTCTTTTTAGATAGATGCAGTGCAGCTTGTTCAAAATGTGCGTCTCACATCGTTTCACCTACAGTGTTAATAACACTGAAACAACACGACAGTGGTGGAGATGCTGCTAAATATTCAGCGCTTCCTTAGAATTCTCAGTTTCAACACATTCATTTCTAACATTTATCAAACCTGCGTGATGACGATAACGCCGTTTAACTAATTCTCTATCACAGCATTTAAGCCCCGCAAGCTGCTCGGTTCAGCGCTGTTCTCTTCTTGATGCATTAATTCTGAACCTGGCTTGGGTCTAAATTGCACCAAACACGACACTGCATCCCCCTCGGTCCACAGCAACGCAACCGCCATGTGGGAAGTCGATCGGATGAACGGTTCCTGACATAATCATAATACAAACAGACAGACTGAGATTATGAGAAACGGTATTAAGTTTGGTGGAGAGCACATTATGACTTGTTTAGCAGTGTTTGGGACTTACAGTATCTCACAAAGTGAGTACACCCCTCACATTTTTGACACTGAAGAAATGACACTTCGCTACAGTGTAAAGTAGTGAGTGTAAATCTGCTGTCCCCACAAAATAACACATCACACAGCCCTAAGTGAAAATGTCCAAATTGGGCCCAATTAGCCACTTTCCCTCCCTGGTGTCATGTGACTCGTTAGTGTTAGTGAATGTGGAGCAGGTGCGGTAAATTTGGTGGAGAGCACATTATGACTTGATTAGCAGTCATGTTTGAGTTACTTGTGACTTGTGACTAACAATGACCTGGTCCCCCATCTGAAGCATTTAGCATCTAAAGAGCCAGATGTTTCCCTCAGGAGCTGGTGGAGACCAAACACAGAGCTCACAGAGAGAGAATATTGGACTCCCCTTCACCAGCAGTTACAAACACAACTGCAGATGAAGCAGCATGTTGATCTGCAGCTGCTGGAGGAGGAAACCAGCTGCTGTCTAATCATAAGATCAACATGTTAACTTAAAGATGACGATGTGTTAATGTTGAGTTCACAGCTTGTTTCTGCTGAAAATAAGTGGACAAAAAAACTGGTTAGTGCAGGTTTTAAATTTGCATGCTTTAAGGGGGGGGGGGTTTGGGCGACGTGCTGCTTGCTAACCTCAGCTAGAAATTAATCTTATTGGTTAAACACAAACAAAACTGTAAATCAAATGGTTTCATTTAATAACTTACTCAGCTCATTTGTACTTATTTAGATTTTATAGGCAGAGATGGTCTAAAGGTTAGATAATGGTTCAATCCCCGGACTGACAGGATGAATCTGGGTGTGGAAAGTCAACATGCGGCGCTTGCTATCCCTCATTTACCCCCACTGAGGTGCCCTTAACCCCAACTGCTCCAGTGGAGCTGCTCAGTGGTCAGCAGATCAGACTGTGGTTGTACTGGTCAGCTTCCAGGTCTCAATGTGATCAGGGTCTTCCTGCAAAAGAGAGACGTCCTCTCAGTGGAGCTCCTCTGAATAAAGGTTAAAAATAATAATAAGAGTTTTGTTTTTAGAAACTTATCAGAAGGCGTGTTCACTGTTTCGTTGAAAGGGAGAAGCTGTTGCAGCCATCAGCTGGTCTCGCTGTAGGAAAGCACAGTGACACTTTGGTGTTCTGGGTGCTGAAACAAAAACCACCACTTTAAATAGAGCGTGTTGCCTAAAGGACGTGGCCTGGGTCTCGTGCAGCGGTTAATCCAGTGTGACAGAAATCATCCTGTGAGAGGTTGTGAAAGTAAAGAGTGAAAGCGACCGCAGCTTCCTGTCCGTGTTTATTTTCTGTTTACCTCAAATCCAAGGTTTTTTTATTATTGACTTATATTTACAACCGGATCTGCTTTGAGTTACTGTGTATTAAAATATACATATAACACATCTGCCAAACAAAAATTAAGCGTCTGGCCCAGAGCAAAGGGATTCATAATCACTTACACTGTCTAGGTTTCTATGTTTTGGGGAACAGAGATCCTCTCCAGGCCTTGAAGACTCATTCAAGGAGAGGAGAGGAACAACGAGAAGGGAAAACACCAAACAATCTCACAGCTCTGACCTAAACCCTACATACGGGAACAGAGAAGAGAAAAGTAGAGATAAAAAGATGAAACAATTTTCTGCCATAATATTCATTTTAATTTTTGTTTCTGTATTATTTATTTTTTTAAAGAGGTGGTATTATGCTCATTTTCAGGTTCAAAATCTTAATTAGCGGTTGTACCAGAACAGGTTTACATGGTTTAATTTTCAAAAAACACCATATTTTTCTCATACTGCACATTGCTGCAGCTCCTCTTTTCACCCTGTGTGTTGAACGCTCCGCTCTTGAGCTACAGAGTGATGCATCTTACTTGTACAAAATCTTTGTTGGGAGTTGCACATGTGCAGTTCCCAGGTAAGGACTACTAGCCAATCAGAAGCAGAGAAGGGCGGGTCGTAAGAAACAAGGTAGTGTGATCCAAATCAAAGCTGCTTCAGACTGAGACTGTAACCTAGCAGATGTTATAAGTTAACTCTCAAGTCCACAACATCATTGTTCCACATCTGACCATCAGGACTAAACTTTGAACTGTTGCCGGTGTTCTGACGATCTATGCTGCCTTGTCGAAAAATGCTACCTTATGTGTTCCCTTTTCCAATCCCATAAAGTTATAACTCTCACAGTATTATGACATGTTCTGTTTTTTGATTATATTATAACATCATTTCAGGTTTAGCGTAATATCAAATAATGCTCCCATTACAGAATCATTTTATATTACACCACTACTCACTCCATGTGTACTGTACTACGGGGGAGCATGTTGAAACATTATATAATGCCATCTTTATTCCTCATAGACTAATAATGATTTTTTTTATTTTTTATGTTACTGACAATCAGCCACTTTCTCAACGGCATGCCCAACAGCAAGGTTGCACAGATTTATGGGCGTGGAAACAAACCACGCTTGTGGGTCATACGCATGCGCAGATCCGCTAAGTAGCACAGCTCGATAGGCAGCAAAGATCGTCAGAACACCGGTGTTCTGACGATCTTTGCTGCCTTGCCGAAAAATGCTACCATAGCACAAATCGATAGACTGGACTCTACTCGGCCCTGCTCCGTTTTCCATTGCAGGTAGTACCCAGAGGAAGTACGTACCTGTCGTCATAGCGACACCACACACAACTGCCGTGACGTAATGTTCAATGCGACACACACACCAACGATCCACACAGCTTTCTGTTTCTTAAGTTAAAACGTTTCAACATTGCTCAGAATGTAAAGACAGATAAGCGGTATGAAAAGCTTCCAGCTGTGTTTTCCTCTGCCGTTGTTGCTGCAGCGGTCTGTGTGACGGCGGGAGCAGAGGGCTCTGTGAGCGGGCGGCTGGCGTCACACGCTCCTCCACAGCAGGCTTCCCCCGCAGCCACTTGCGGAGCTCCTCAATTCCAACAGTATTCAAGCACATTTTTGTTCCGCCATCACTTAAAACTGTCAATATTCCATACAAAAACTGTAAAATATAAAACTTTCTGTTGCCTCTGCCTGGTGCAATGATGATGCAGTGAATAGTGAATATTCTCTCTGACCAATCAGCAGTCTGTCGTGTTTTCACGTTACATTTTAGTTTCCCTCAGCTCGCTTGGAACCTCGACGGAGGTGATATGAAAAAAAGTACCTGTTAGCAGGTACAGGTCCAACATTTCTACAATGGAAAACCAAACAAAGGCGAGTCGAGCCAAAGGGCCTCCGCTCAGACTAGCTTGGTGTGAGGGTTTGTCTGACCCCGCTAGCTGCTTGGCGAGCTTTATGACGTGTTTTCATTGTGACGTCACAAGTAAAGGAAGTGAAGGGCTGGACTACAAACCAGCTGTTTTCAGTTCAGAGCAGAGTTTTCTGTGGGAGATGGGAACTCACTTCGGGCTTTTTCACTTTGCAAACGTGTTACATGCACAAAAAAGAGATATAACTCAATAAAGGAGAGGGAAAAGCCTAAAACCAGAATACCACCTCTTTAAAGTTTTATAATGCATAATTTAAATGCTAATTAAATGAATCTATTTATAATGGCTCATTTTATACATGGATTTAATCATTGATTAAAATAAACCTCATTAAAACACTGTATTATTCTGGTGGCACTTTACTGCCTCTGTACAAACTGAAGCAGGAGCAGATCAGGAATCACTACGGCTAGAAGATGACAAAATATTAAGTTGGGGTAAATTAATAGGTAAAGATTTATTCCTGCAGCACTTTTCAAAACAAAAGTGGTAAAGTGCTTCACATGTAAAGTGTTAAATATCAAACAAGCAGGAAAACAAAATAGAAAATTACAAAAAGGAGAGAGAATAACTTTGATCTGATGATCTAATAATAAGATGTATTATCAGACACTCTCTCTCGTTCATTTAATTTAAATAATGATAATAAAAAAACACACAGACTATACTCCGTGTCTTCTGTTTCCTGTGTTTCAGCTCACGTGGAGAACGAGGAGCAGTACGTCGGGTCGCTGGAGAAATTCGGAGACAACTGTGTGAGCAGGGAAGAGGCCGAGGTCGGCTCGGCCTTCCTCAAGTTCGCCGTCTTCACCAAAGAGCTGACGGCGCTCTTCAAGAACCTGGTGAGGAACCGACCTCGCACCGCGATGACTGAAACAAACAGAGCTGTTAGAGGAACTTTACATTGAGACACTTGGAGGTTTGTGCTCTAACAAGACTTCCTGTTTGCAGTTGCAGAACATGAACAACATCATCACGTTTCCTCTGGACAGTCTGCTGAAGGGAGACCTGAAAGGAGTCAAAGGGGTTTGTGTTCAGTCTTAAAGCTTCGAACAACCAGTCTGAACTTACAGATTCTTTCATTCATCTGCTGATTATCTTTAAAATATCTGTAGATAAGGAGATTTACGGTGGCCCTGAGGGCTCAACACACTGCAACTTAAGAAAACACATGCAAACTCCTCAAGTGACCACCACGTGAACAGTTTAGAAAAATGAATAAACAACATCCGGTTAGACTTTCAAAATAAAATATGTGGTTAATGTTGAGAAACGTTGTAGTTTGGTAAAAAATGAGTGACTTAGTTACATAAAGGGAGTTAAAAACTATGTTAAAAGTTAAATACATTAAAAAGAATTTTAAAAGTTCAGAGTCTACTACGGCTTCTTTTAGCATTTATCAATGACGCTACAGCGTCCATATGACACGACTTGGTAGTGAAGTGGATTATGGGATATGTTTTATCCAAAGCATGTACATGTCAGAGGTCGCACGCCTCTGGAGTAACTAGAGGTTAAGTGTCTTGCTCAGGGACAAATTGGTGGATGGGTCACAGTGGGGATTGAACCCGGGTCTCTCACACCAAAGGCATCATCTTATCCATTGCACCATCACCATGTGTTACCACACATGTCACACAGAACGCAACGAGTGGAAAAACTAATGTTGAACGTGTTCTTTGGTTTAAATGGTGTGACAGAGAGTTTCAGAGGTGAAATGGTGAACTTGAGATCATCTAAAGGCCAAACAGCAAATATCTATAAGATCAGAATTTAAAGGAAATCCGCTGTCGGATAATCGACTGCAGTAACTTCATGATCCACAAACCAGCCAAACTGCAGCGTGTTGAGCCTTCAGGGCCACCGTAGTAAAATGACAGTTTCCTGGAGTCCAAGCGGACAGACATCTTCAGACGTCTTGTTTTGTTTGACATAGAGTCTAAAACCCAAAGAGAATGAGTTTACTGTCAAAGACGACAGAGAGAAGCAGCAAATCCTCTGAGCTGAGAAGCTGAAACATGGGAACGTTTTCACTTTATAGATGAAAGAATATGATTATTAAAATAATCACCAATTAATTCTGTACTTCACGGTCCGACGGGCCGGTACAGGAGCTTCTTAAAAAATTAGAATATGGTGGAAAAATTCATTATGAGCACCAGACTGAGAGATGAAAGACTCAGGAGTTAATCAGCTGATCAGAGCTCTGCTCAGGTCCATGTTTCTGTTTTATAAACTCTTTATTATAAAAGGTTTTAAGATGCTGGAGTTTTTTTTATTTCCATGAGCTGTAAACCGTAATCATCCAGATTAAAACCAACAAAAAAGGCCTGAAGTATTATGTGTAATGAATCTACACTATATGAAAGTTTCACCTTTTCACGTATATTACAGAAGAAAATGAACTGTTCCGCAATATTCTTTAAAATAATTTCTAGATGCACCTGCTGTCGTCAGTTTACTGACTGAACGTTCATGTGGTGAAGATGCAGTGTGAAAAGTACCTTGAATAGAAGTCAGTGTTTTGACCTTTTTAATGACGATGTCTTTGTGCTGCTTGTTTTTAACCAACTGCATGAGATAAGTTAAAGAACTGATCTGCGTCAGAGTTTATATCAAACACAGAATGTTAAATAAAACAAAGAAGATTTCTGCAGGCAGTGAAGTTTGGAAAAGAACAAAACCTACGTTAAGGTGTTGAAATATTTCCTGAGTGAGTCACAGGTCGAAGTCCTCTCTGTGTTTGTGAAGCAATGCTGCGATGTGATTGGTCAGAGTTCAGTCTAATCATGTGACTTCTCTTCCTCCTTCAGGATCTGAAGAAGCCGTTCGACAAGGCCTGGAAGGATTATGAGACCAAGCTGTAAGACCAGAAACAGTCTGCGCCTCCTCTTCCTGTTCACCACTGAGTTCAATAAAGTTTCATACTTTAAAAACGATAAAACACAAAGAGTTGTCTTCATAAGTCACTAAATCTTTAGAGTTAACTTTATTTTCACTACAGCAAAGATGTTAGGAGCTCATAGTGCCAGACAGACAAAAGACAGCATGCTAAATAGAAAACATAAATAAGAACATATTGATTAAATAAATACAGAGAAGATGATAAACTAAAGACAAAATGTACGTTTAGGTGCTGACAGTCGAATAGATCTTGTTCTGAGCGCTCGGATTTTAAAACCTCACCGCGTCTCAAAACTAAACTGGATACTTCCTCAAAAAATATATATATAATTTCAGCTGCGTCAGCTGGTTGTAGATTTTGTAAACGTTGCTTTCCCATTTAAGGTTTGCAGAGATCGTAGTCGATCTAACCGAACACCAGCGGATCATCAGCAGTACGCTCATCTGTGTGTGGTTAATAAAGCCAACGGGTCACTTCCTGTCCTGCAGGAATCCAGAAACACACGGGTTCATTATACTTTACTGCACTAACAAGTACTCAAATCTTCTACTTTAGTAATACCACAGTGTAGAAATACTCTGATACAAGGAAATCTGGTATTTGCATCACACTCATTATGCAGAATAAGTTTATTATATTACTGGATTATAACTATTGATGTTAATTAATGTGTTGAGCTCCTTTTAATGACGCTTCATCTGTAATAATATCTCATCATTTATTATATTTTGTCTATTAATCTGCAAAGTAACTAAAGCTGTCAGATAAGTGTAGTGAAAATGTAAATAAGAGGACATGTAGATTATGTTGTACATTGTTCCTTTGCTGGTTCCAGTGCTGGTTTTCATGACTTGACCTTTGACCTCCTGCAGAGCGAAGATTGAGAAGGAGAAGAGGGAGCACGCCAAGCAGCACGGGATGATCCGCACCGAGTTCAGCGGAGGAGAGATCGCCGAGGAGATGGAGAAGGAGCGGCGGCTCTTCCAGCTGCAGATGTGTGAGGTGAGGTCACACGGGGGGTCAGGGGTCACATGACTTAAAGTCAGGTTTCACGTCCTCTCGTGTGGAACGAACCCTGATCTTTCCTCAAGTCACAAACTGAAGTGGAACATTTAGAACAAAGTCAGACGTGGCTGCAGATAAATCAGACCTGCAGGTCAGAAACATCTGGCAGGTCGTATTACAGATGTGCTGCATCGTTTTAGACACGTGTTCCCAAAATCCCAACTTTGAACACGTGCAGATGTCATCTGGAATGTGAAATAAAGCTCAGAGGGTTTAAACAACATTAGGGAAAAAAACACAATTTTTTTTTATTGATTCAACCTTTATTTAAACAGCAGAACACATTGAGATAAGATCTCTTTCTCAAGCCAGACCTGGCCAACAAAGGCTGCATTAGAAGTTACACGTGTGACAATACATTAAAACATTTTCTAGATGCCCATATGTACAATTAAGAAATTAGCCCATAGAAAGCATCTACGCTCTAGGGCTGCAACTAATGATTATTTTCATTTTCAACTGATCTGCAGATTATTTTCACAATTAATGGTTTAGTCAATAAAATGTAAAGAAATTGTGAACAATGCTCGTCACAGGAGCCCAAAGTGTCTTCAGATTGTTTCTTTTGTCCAACCAACAGTCCAAAACCCAAAGACTCTTCATTTACTGTCATAAAGGGAAATAAATGAACAGCAATTCCTTAGATTTAAGAAAATGAAACCAGCAAATGTTTCACGTTTGCTTAAAGAAATGACTGAAAGACGAAATCGATTTCCTAAATAGTTCTTTGATCGAATGTTTGTTGCAGCTCTGCTACACTCGGCCTTTAGGGTATCTGCAGCTCTGAGAGGCTCCAGCACCTCTAACTTCTTGTAAATTTAATGCAGTCTTCGTCTGTCAGGGGAGACTCACCTGTTCTGTGAGTTCTGCAGAAAGGAAATTTAATGACTCTTTTATTGTGAAAAGAAACATTAAATTTCATTAAGATTTCATAATAATCAGCTGAGTTTTAAAATCATGGTTGTATAATGCACCTGGTCTGTTTCACTTCTGATTCATTTTCATTTCATAATTAGTGACAGACCGATTAACCGGGCTGATATCTGGTATCTTTGAGATAATCAGCATCGGCCAGTATCTGCACTCAGGAGCCCGATACATCGCAGCAGCTCTAATCTAACAGTGTCCAATATATGTAGTCATACTGTAGAGAACGATGCAGCTGAAAGACGTTCTGAAATCTACAGCAGAACCCAAAGTACGTTTCTGTTTCAGTAATTAATAAAGCTTCAGCTGAAACAACACGTGCTGGGAGAACGTGGAGATTAGACTGGAACAAATATACAGGACTTTGTTTTCATATCAGCTCTCTATATGTCTTATTTATGTATTTAATAAGACAGAAACTGATGTCTGGTTCCTCTCTGCAGTATCTCCTGAAAGTGAACGAGATCAAAGTGAAGAAAGGTGCCGACTTCCTCCAGAACCTCATCAAGTATTTCCACGCTCAGTGCAAGTACGTCACTCTGCAAAGTTATTTAAAGTCTGAAACGTGTTTGTGTCAGTCAGGAGGAAGAACCAGAAATCATCAGTATCTGCACAGAAATGAGGGAGAAACTTCAAAACTTCATTCAGAACTTAACTTCATTTATTTCTACATGTTTACTTCAATTCAACTTATTACACATTCAGAGATTTGAGCCTTATATTTGCCTTAATAGTTTTATGTATCATTAATGGATTTTTGGTGCAGAACTGAATGTTTTATGTCTGTCAGTTTTTTCCAGGACGGCCTGAAGGCTGTGGAGAGTCTGAAACCCTCTGTAGAGAGACTGGCGACAGACCTGACGGCGGTGAGGACGGATATATTTAATGTAGCGTGAAAACAGAAATTGATTATAGATTATAGAGATTACAGATTAAAATGAGGAACTGCAGTTTCATTTCCTCCTAACGTCTCTGCATGTAAGGTTAGCCGCCTTTAAGGAAGGAAACACATTAAAATATGCTCATCAGTAACGTATAATGTGTGTTCCTGTCTCTTCTTCTGTGGTGCTCAGATTAAGCAGACTCACGACGGAGAGAGGAAACAGCTGACTCAGCTCCGAGACGCCCTGAAGGCGTCGCTGCAGTCGGAGCAGAAGGAGGTGGGAACAGATTCTAGAAGGAGAATAATCTGAATTATAGTTTAGGTTTAGTTGGCAGTGCTGCTGATCAGTGGATGATGAATCTACTCAGCCCTGTTTAAACTTCAGTTTAACAGCTGGTAAAATGGGGCCAGTTTCAATATGTTATACTGTTGGCCCTAATCTATATTAATAAATCCAATTTATCATCTGAATATGCTAAAGTTTTACCATAAATGTAGTAAAAAGTACAATATTTCTCTATTAAATGTACCGAAGTAGAAGTAGAAAGGAACGAAAAATAGAAATACTCAAGTAATGTAGAAGTACCTCCCTGCAGTGGCTCTGTGGCCCCTCAGGGGGGCTGACCCCCCACTTTGAGACCCGGTCTCTGAGTTTTACAGTTGGCTGTGTCTCCTGGTTCTCTGCAGGACTCTCAGGCCAAACAGAGCGGCGGTTACAGCCTCCACCAGCTGCAGGGCAACAAGGCTCACGGCACCGAGCGCTCCGGGGTCCTTTACAAGAAAAGTGAGGGGTGAGTGAACTCCCAGAATGCCACAGGAAAATGACTTCCTGTGGACCAGAGGTCACTACCAGGCAGACCGTGATCCGTTTCTGGACCCAGCCGGCGTCCTTTCCGGGCCCGGACGTACAGCTGATGTATTATTGAGAATTACCAGCGTTTCTTTTTTTAGCCCGCGCAGCTTGTCTAGCATTTACTGTACTGGTTTGGCGGCACCAATTACATGTGCTCCATGTGATGCTGCTCAACCAATCAAATCTGCGCATTCCGATAAGCATTGCTGGTCGAGTTTGCGAGTGAAAGGAAGAGAGGAGACGACTTCACGTGGCTCTCATATCTCCTTTGCTTTGTGAAATATTCTCTAAGCTGTGAAAAAAGCTCTACAGCAGGGGAATTCAGTTCGAGTTGAATTCCCCTGCTTAGAGCTTTCACACCAGCATCCAGCTGCATGTAGGCGACTGCTGAAAGTTAGCACGGCTCAGATGGACTCTGAGGTGATGCTCACATGTTATTATACCAACATGAGTCACATTTTTAACCTCTTTTTGAATCAAAGTCCAGTTTTATGTTTGTTTGTCGTCGTTCTTCAGAGCGTTTTGTCCGTTAGCGAAACAGATGAGATAGTTTTTTGGGAACAGTGTGTTTCAGCTCCACATCATGTGCATACATTACAAACAACAAATAAACAATACACTTCACAACATGTAACAACACAGAATACAGTGGCTGAAACAATCATTCAGGGCGTCATGGACTGATAGATTTGTAGAGCTGGTACAGAAAGATCAGTACAGCGATGTGTGTTCTCGTCCTCAGACTGAGGAAGGTTTGGCAGAAGAGGAAGTGCTCTGTGAAGAACGGTTTCCTGACCATCTGCCACGGCACGGTAAGACAACAGATCTCCCATTGGTCCTCCTGCCTGCATCAGCCAATAGAAAGTCTCCTTTTGGGTTTAATTTTCTATTTGAACCGTCTCACTTATGTTTTACTTTAGTTTCTTTTTGTTCCTTCTTTCTTTTATTTTTGAAGTTTTGTTTACAAAGAGCCGCTCAGGACAGGATGCTGTATTATTTTATCTCTGCTCCAGCTCTGGACGTTTTTGGTAAAACAACATAAAACTGGTTTATAGCACCACGTAAACAACTAGCAGAACCTTGATTGTGATGTTGCTCCTTTAGAAACTGAGAGACTGTCCCCAGAGGAGGAGCCCTGATGAATCCAGTGACCTCTGGGGGACGAACCCTTTAGTTGTTTTGCTCTGAACAAGCAGACAGCCAATCATCAGTGTCTCCTGTTTGTCTTGACTGACAGACAAATGCTGTGTGATGGAAAAAAGCATCATGAAAGAAATCTGCAGCTAAAATTATATAAATATTCCCATGATGCTTAGCTGCAGCAGGTGTAACGGTTACCATGATCACAATCTGTAGTGTTAGCATGTGATCATTTAACAATATAACAAATGTTCAGTTAATGTTTGATTTAATTCATTTGAGTCATAAACAAGCTTAAATGATTTGACATTTATCCTGATAATGATCGATATCCAATGATCAGACACAAGTCGTGATAACATTTTTGGCTGTATCGCCCGGACTAAAATTAAATTATTTAGTTATTTGTGATATAGTTGTGAGTTATTTTTCTTGCAATAGCGGGATAATTATGTAATATTTTTTGAAGTGAATATACAATATAAATGTATTGTATACAGTAGAATATATTTATCCTGTTACCTATAACATAATAGATTGTTTTGCCGACATAACCAGACAATAAGCCTGTTATCTCAAAACGAGACTAAACGTCTGCGGCCATGCTAGCAGCTCTGTGAGCCTGTACTGTGCACTTTAAGCTAAATGCTATTGTTAGCATGCTAAAAGGCTCATTTTTAACATGTTCACCATCTTAGTTTAGCGTGTTAGCCCAAGTGTTGGACACGTTAACGTGTTGACCTGATGGTGGCGCTAGATGGAAGTTAATACAGTTCATCCTGAGGGAACAGTAATGATTGATGGCGATCCAGCCTGGATCATTTTAAATATTTCCGTCTGTATTTATCTGATATCGAGACCTTTGGAGCTCCATAGTCTTGTTTAGTGCGACAGGCGTCCTCTCCTGCTGCTGTCTCACCCTCCTCCCTGCGTCCTCTCCTGCTGCTGTCTCACCCTCCTCCCTGCGTCCTCTCCTGCTGCTGTCTCATCCTCCTCCCTGCGTCCTGCTGCTGTCTCACCCTCCTCCCTGCGTCCTCTCCTGCTGCTGTCTCACCCTCCTCCCTGCGTCCTCTCCTGCTGCTGTCTCACCCTCCTCCCTGCGTCCTGCTGCTGTCTCACCCTCCTCCCTGCGTCCTCTCCTGCTGCTGTCTCACCCTCCTCCCTGCGTCCTCTCCTGCTGCTGTCTCACCCTCCTCCCTGCGTCCTGCTGCTGTCTCACCCTCCTCCCTGCGTCCTGCTGCTGTCTCACCCTCCTCCCTGCGTCCTCTCCTGCTGCTGTCTCACCCTCCTCCTGCTGCTGTCTCACCCTCCTCCCTGCGTCCTCTCCTGCTGCTGTCTCACCCTCCTCCCTGCGTCCTCTCCTGCTGCTGTCTCACCCTCCTCCCTGCGTCCTCTCCTGCTGCTGTCTCACCCTCCTCCCTGCTGTCTCACCCTCCTCCCTGTGTCCTCTCCTGCTGCTGTCTCATCCTCCTCCCTGCGTCCTCTCCTGCTGCTGTCTCACCCTCCTCCCTGCGTTCTGCTGCTGTCTCACCCTCCTCCCTGCGTCCTCTCTTGCTGCTGTCTCACCCTCCTCCCTGCGTCCTCTCTTGTTGCTGTCTCACCCTCCTCCCTGCGTCCTCTCCTGCTGCTGTCTCACCCTCCTCCCTGCGTCCTCTCCTGCTGCTGTCTCACCCTCCTCCCTGCGTCCTCTCCTGCTGCTGTCTCACCCTCCTCCCTGCGTCCTCTCTTGTTGCTGTCTCACCCTCCTCCCTGCGTCCTCTCCTGCTGCTGTCTCACCCTCCTCCCTGCGTCCTCTCTTGTTGCTGTCTCACCCTCCTCCCTGCGTCCTCTCGTGCTGCTGTCTCACCCTCCTCCCTGCGTCCTCTCGTGCTGCTGTCTCACCCTCCTCCCTGCGTCCTCTCGTGCTGCTGTCTCACCCTCCTCCCTGCGTCCTCTCGTGCTGCTGTCTCATCCTCCTCCCTGCGTCCTCTCCTGCTGCTGTCTCACCCTCCTCCCTGCGTCCTCTCGTGCTGCTGTCTCATCCTCCTCCCTGCGTCCTCTCCTGCTGCTGTCTCACCCTCCTCCCTGCTTCTTGTCTCTCAGCCTAACAGACCTCCAGCGAAACTGAACCTGCTCACCTGCCAGGTGAAGAAGAATCCAGACGATAAGAGCTTCGACCTGTTCTCACGTAAGCTGCAGATCTACGTGTCCTTCACACATTGTGTCGTCCTCTCGTCTAAAACACATCTCATGTCTCTCGTTTCCCGCCTTCAGACGACAGGACGTACCACTTCCAGGCTGAGGACGAAGCCGAGTGTCAGATGTAAGTATCAGAAAGCCCGGCCCCCTGGTGTCCCCGGGTGTCCCTGGGTGTCCCCAGGTGTCCCCTGGTGTCCCCTGGTGCCCCCTGGTGTCCCCCTGACCTCTGACCTGATGTTGTGTTGTCTGTGCAGCTGGGTGTCGGTGCTGCAGAACAGCAAAGAGGAGGCGCTGAACAAAGCCTTCAAAGGCGACCAGAACGAAGGCGAGAACAACATCGTGCAGGAGCTGACCAAAGCCATCGTGGCCGAGGTCAAGAGGATGAGCGGCAACGACCTCTGCTGCGACTGTGGGGCCCCGGGTCAGTACTACTACTACTACTACTACTAGTACTACTACTACTACTGTTATTATTACTGCTGCTGCGACTGTGGGGCCCCGGGTCAGTACTACTACTACTACTACTACTACTACTACTACTGTTATTATTACTGCTGCTGCGACTGTGGGGCCCCGGGTCAGTACTACTACTACTACTACTAGTACTACTACTGTTATTATTACTGCTGCTGCGACTGTGGGGCCCCGGGTCAGTACTACTAGTACTACTACTACTACTGTTATTATTACTGCTGCTGCGACTGTGGGGCCCCGGGTCAGTACTACTAGTACTACTACTACTGTTATTATTACTGCTGCTGAGACTGTGGGGCCCCGGGTCAGTACTACTAGTACTACTACTACTACTGTTATTATTACTGCTGCTGCGACTGTGGGGTACTACAGTACTACTGCTACTTTTAACTTACTACTACATCAACTGTTCGTAATTCTGTCGCTGCTACTGCTGTTAATGCAGCTAGTACTTCTCCTAGTACTACTACAATTTCTACTGCTGTCAGTACTAAGACTACTCTGCTAATCCATGTTAGGCAGGCTCTGAGGCATACACAGTACACAGCAGGAGTACTTTAAGTATTTAAACTAAAGCACTTCAGTTAGTGAACGGGCAGGTGGAGAACACAAAGACGCTGGCGCTGGAACATCACCTGTGATTGAGATGAGCCCGGTAGGTCAGCCACGCCCTGATTACAGACCAGGGAGACTCCTGTTGTTTTTAACCCTCTCCAGGTTTCCCCCTGGTTTATGACGGGGGAGGAGCCCCGAGACAGACACAGAGCTGCTGAGGGGAACCTGAAGGTCTGAACCAGATCAGAACCCGTCCAACAGCTGCTGATGTTTCAGTCTGGACAGTTTCCTCCCTGCAGTCAGACGCTGTGTAAATGAAATGAATGAAAAATGTCGGATCTCTAAAGATGTAGAAGATAGAAAAGGACGAGTGAGAGGGGACCGTTTGAAAAAGGCAGTCATGTTCTCAGATAATCACTGATGAAGTTTAGAAGTCTGACCTGCAGACGAATGATTCCACTGCCCCCCCATCAGGTCCCACCTGGCTGTCCACCAACCTCGGGGTTCTGATCTGTATCGAATGCTCGGGGATCCACAGGGAGATGGGGGTGCACTACTCCAGGATCCAGAGTCTGGACCTGGATGTCCTAGGAACCTCCGAGCTGCTGGTGAGTCCACTTCACTGTCCCCAGGGAAAGTAAAGGAAATCAGAGCGTCGAGGCAGGCCGGAGGGAAGCACAGTTTGTTTCTTAGTTACTGTTGTATTTAATTATTTTGTGTCTGTCCTGATTATTCTAGTTTATTTAAAACTGATTGGGAAAAAAAAATTAAAATAAAATTAGGAATTTACAAGAAATAAATATCCTAATAATTTTACAGAAAAAAGTAAAAGGTTTTTGAATTTATCTTGTAAATGTTACAACATTGTTTTACTCCAAATATAGATATGACCTGATTCTCAAACTTTTAATCTAGTTTAGATTTTTGTTTCAGTGGTTTTTGCATTTCATCATAATATTTTGTGTATTTAATGAAATCCTACCATTTTATCATATTAAGGATAAACTAATAATAAAGTATATCTTCTTAATGTATTTAGAATCATTAAGGTATAAATATAAAATGTGGAACATTTTTTTGTAAACTTGAGGAATTCCAATTCAAACACATGCTGAGCCTTCAGGCAGTAACGATGTTGCATTTAATCGTACGTGTGTTCGTACATTCAGATTGTTGTGATTGTTGTAGCTCCGCTGTGACGAACCACCTGACATGTTGTGTTTTAGTTGGCGAAGAATGTGGGAAATGCCAGCTTCAACGACATCATGGAGGCGACTCTCTCAGAGCAGGATGTGACCAAACCGGATCCGACCAGTGACATGTGAGTGACAGCCATGCCCCCCCCCCCGGTCCTCTGAAACTCTGCAGACTCCAACATCTGTCTGGTGGAGACTTTTGTTTGAAAAGCGTCTGTAAATCTTCTGAACAAATACTACTAAGTACTTCAACATGACTTGTTAAATATATAAATATTTAATACTTGAGTTCTTGTATTACCCCCTATAGATTTTCTCACTTTTACAATAAATGCAGACCTAACACTGAGTGCAGGTCGATCTCCATAGAGAAGATCTGAAACAAACGACCACCTGGAGGAAAGAAGATTAAATTAAGGTTTAACAGTTGAACCCTGATGAACTGACGCCGTCTCTCTGTGTGTGCCGGGTGTTTCAGGCAGACGAGGAAAGACTACATCACAGCCAAGTACACAGAGAAGCGCTTTGCCGAGCGGATTTGCGACAACGCGGCGTCCAGACTGCGGCTTCTGTACGAGGCCGTCAGGGACAGAGACATCCTGTCTCTGATCCAGGTCTACGCTGAGGGGGTGGACCTGATGGAGGCCAGCAAGCAGCCCAACGAGCACGTACGGCTGCACTCAGACCCTGTCCCAGAGTAAATCCACCTGTCGCAGAAGTCTTCATGTCTTTAGTTACGTTGTTGTTTTGTCGGACAGGAACCTGGAGAGACGGTGCTCCACCTGGCGGTCCGGATGGGCGACAGGAACTCCCTCCACATTGTTGACTTCCTCGCCCAAAACAGGTAACCACTGCAGTGACTGGTCATTATCCATTCATCTGTGGACTGATTTCTTCATTGATTGCTTGTGTAGCACAGCTGAACATAAAGCAAGCGCGACAACACAAGACTCAGTGATGTTAGCGAGTAGTCCAACAGAAATCAGAATCAAGATAGCCTTTATTGTTCTTGCACTGCTACTCCTGTGAGGTGCCAATTAAAAATTCGTTCATTCATGTCCATAATGATAAATAGTTAAATAAAAACTGTAATAAATATAAAAGCTAAATACTGTTAAACGTTTGGCACAAAGAAGGCCAGCTCGCCATCTGTCCTGCAGCCTTTTATTTCACGAAGCTCTCGCCAACGTCCAAGAGCTTCTTATTTAGTCTCTCTCTTTTTCTCTTCTTAGCTTCCTCTGTCAGCGTCCTCGTCGCTCTCTTCACCTCTGCCGTTAGCTAATGTTACGTAGAGGCTGCTGAGCTTGGTTATGTTGCCCCTCTCGTCCGGTTCCAGCTCGACAGCGGCGCCACTCTACACCAGCAGCAGCATAATGTTTCCTGAAACTTGTATGGCAAGCTAGCCCACAAAGTAATGTTACCGATGTTCCAGATCCCTGCACAGGCTTAGTGCCATAGAAAGCTTTTAACACCAGAAGCAGCAATTATAGAGACTCCATTCAAGATGCTACAAGTCAGTGTAGCATCAAAATACATTTTTAGCAGTTGTTTAAAGAAGCAAATACCACATAATGTTGCTTTAAAACCAGCTAACTGTATAAAGCAGTTCAAAGCTAGAATCCGAAATCAGTCAAAGGAGACATTTAACTGCACAAGCAGGACTTTGACTTGTTTGGAGTATTTGAATGTACAGGATGTGAATTCTTCTTCCACCTGTGAGTTACTCTGTAGTGAACGCAGTGTCCTCACATATGCAGTAGTAACACTAAGGAGTGTGTGTTTCAGCGGTAACCTGGACAAGCAGACGGCCCGAGGAAGCACAGCGCTGCATTACTGCTGTCTGACGGACAACAGCGAGTGTCTCAAACTGCTGCTGAGAGGAAAAGCTTCAGTGACCATCAGTAAGAGCCGCAAACCTCACGTTACAGCAGACTCTGCACACGACAGTGAAACCAGATACAAACAAACTGTAAAGCTTCTTTTTAAAAACCTTTAGCTGATCACTGTTGGGAGATATTGTAGCTCACAGAAATGTACAGACCTTACAAGTGCCAGGCTGACGTCAAAGGTGGTTCTGACCGCTGCCTGTGATTATGGTCAGAACGAGATGATGCGAGTGCAGCCTAAATTAATATTGATTCACGGTCTCCAGTGGATAAAGCTAGAAATAACATTAGACCACAAATCCACCAAAAACAAGGTAGAAACAGGATGAAAAGGCCCCTTTTTCACAGTTTCTGACAATCAGGGAAAATACCCACACTGACATGTATACGTGGTGAACAGATCAGTTGTAAGATCGCTGAGCACATTTCACGGTCAGCAGATAGATTTATTAGTGGTTTAGATTTGGAAATAATGCTCAGGTCACATCTCTGCTATCATAAAATCCTGTGGTTGGTCCGTTTGATTGATCACAAGCGTACCGAGACCACCTCTTGGTACTTTTGGTGCTGACCCGAGTGCAATAGCTGCATTCACACCTGCCCAAACGAACCGGACCAGAGGGGAAACAAACTCTAGTGCTGTTGAACCAAACTAAAGAGGGAGGTGTGAAAGCCCCCTAATAGACTTTGGTGATCCCCTGACTTCTTATTTCTTACTTCCGTAGCATGCTAGATATTAAGTCCTAAACATCAGCGTGTTAACATCTTGTATCAATAGAAGGTGAAGATCTAAGAGCAAAGTTTTCCATTCAACAGTTTCCTGGTGTGTAGGAGCATTGCAGCCTCACGAGGGCGACAGCTCGACTTCAAACCTTCAGTTTTGTTTCTGAATGTCTGTTTTCAGTGAAATGCTTCATTTGACTGTGGCTTTGATTTTAGAACTGTAAGCGTACTTCCTACTTCCGACTAAGACACTCAAGGAAATTACTGTTAAATCAACGGTTAACATAATTCAGTACAAGTGGACTGCTTACAAAAGCACACCATGCTTATAAACCAGGTCACTCAACAAGTACTGCATTAGTACACGTGACTGATTAATGGCTAACATAAAGGCCTATAGAAAACAGGAAACTGCTGCAGCTTTCGATGTCATCGACCACAGCATTCCTGTTGTTAAGCTTAAATGTTCTGATTTCTCACCTTTATCATTAGCTGGGACGAGTTATCTCTACACAGAGAACACAGCAGGTGTCCTTTAAGTCGTTTTCTCCGCTCTTCAAGGCAGTTAGATCATCATAATTTTACTCATAATTTTTGGGCGGCTGTGGCTCAGGAGGTAGAGCGGGTTGGCCGTTAATCAGAAGGTCGGCGGTTCAATCCCTGGCTCCCCCTAGTTGTGTGTCGAAGTGTCCTTGGGCAAGAATGTTAGTTTCCGTTTGAGCACTGAGGCTCAGTGTATGAATGTGTGTGACTGGTGAATGCAGATGTAGTGTAAAAGCGCTTTGAGTGGTCGAAAAGACTAGAAAGGCGCTATACAAGTACGGAACATTTACATTTACACACTGTTTCTTAGGTCTTACAGAAAGTCATTTACAGTTTTTTTTAATATCTTGTCATTCTCATTTTATGTGGCATTTTATCTGTAAATATGTGGGGAAAAGCTCCGTCACGCATATGAGTAAATGGTACATTTTGAATGAATCCATTAAAAAGCAAGATAATAATAAATAAATAAATCTCTGGCAATTTGTATAAGATTCATCTGAACATTATTAGTGTGCTGGAAAATGGATTTCTGTGACATGCAAATCTGTGCATAAGGAACGAGAAAATGCCTCATTTGCATATAAACAAATAAAAACATTATATACATGTAAACCTTTGGTTTGTAAAACTGAACTGTAATATGAGTAAAGTTGGGAAAAACCTGTTTGACTGTGGTGTCTCACCTTGGGAAGAATAAATCAAGACTTTGTCTCCACAGCAAATGACGCAGGAGAGACGGCGCTGGACGTCGCCAAACGTCTCCGACACATTCAGTGTGAAGAACTGGTGAGACTATTTTATATACTGCTTATAATATTTGTTAAAATTTGAGTTTACCTAAAGTGAAATCAGGAACCTGTATGATTCATCCATCCTGTGTTTCATGTTTCAGCTGACTCAGGCTCAGACGGGAAAGTTTAACGTCCACGTTCATGTTGAGTACGAGTGGCGTCTCCAGAATGAGGACCTGGACGAGAGTGATGACGAGATGGAGGACAAGGTCAGATGGTTTCATGATGAACAGGGTGTGTTTTGTGTGAATTGGGTGTCTAGCGGTTCAGATGTGTAACGGTCTATTTCCTGCAGCCAATCCCTAACCGGCGCGAGGAGCGTCCCGTCAGCTGCTTCGTGCCGGGCAGCGGCCCCATGCAGCCCAACCTGGCGGCGCTGGCCCGGGACGCCGCCACGATGGTGCGGGACAAGCAGAGGCCTCAGGTCCCCAGCATGATGATCAGCAATGAGACCTACGGCACCATGATGGACCTCAGCCTGCCGCCGCCGGGACCAACACCGCCGCTGCCACCCAGAGCGCCAAACAGAGGTCAGACACTAAATCTGTATCCAAAAGATACGAGAAACGTTTTCATTCCTACTGGGACTTTTTTTTGAAAGGTTTTTGATAATAACTAAAAAATAAGCTCTCATAATAATCAGATTCGTCATCGCAGCAGCCACAGATTGGTGAGTTGTTCGGTGTCTTAGCTGACTCTCCTTTGTGGTTTTGTCTCCCTGCCGGTTTAGGACAAAGTAAACCTGCTGCTGTGGAAACTGTAGGAAGACAGCGGTCGTGCTCCGATCCCCCCAGCCCTCAAACCCCTGAGAGGAACTCGTCCATGTACGGTGAGTGTCGAAAGAAAAGCATCGCCTCCTCGGCTGGGAAACCTGCCAGACCTCCTGTGGATGATTCTTATTGATGGTTTTCAGATCTTGTGACGTGTCTTTTGTCTCGGGTCTCGTGTTCTTTGCTGCATCTGGAGAATCTTGAACCCCAGATTTTAATCTCAGAGCTGTTTCCAGGTCTAAATCAGATGTTCTCTCTCCGTCTCCCCCAGTGGTCCCAGCAGCCCCTCCTCATTTAGTAAAACTGAGGTCCAGTATGTTGGAGACCAAGTACCTGACAGCCAGGAACACCCCCCTCCCTCCCCTACCAGCAGCAGGACCCCCCCCAGTACCTCCAGTCCCACCAGCACCCAACATCCCACCGCCACCCCACTTCAAAGCTCCGCCCCTTCCCCCTCCAGTCCCCAGTCACCAGACCAATAAACAACCAGGACCGTCAGGACCACCAGGACCGCTAGCACCTCCAGGACCACTGTTACCACCTGTACAACCAGGACCACTAGGACAACCAGGACCACTAGGACAACCAGGACCACTAGGACCCAAATCAATCCCTGGGTATGTAGTAATTTGTACTGGACTGGTCTCTGAAGATCTGCAGATGTTAGTATTGGGTAAAACTGGTTGGTGCAGGTCTTCTATACAGGTACAGGTTCTGTTCTAGACTGGGCAGTACTGAAGGTTAAACATACGGGAGATTTACGGTAAAATACTACTAGTTTGTATTTCTACTGGTCAGTACTTGGAGATACTGGTTGGTCTATTCTGTTCCCAACTATTGCTTCGCTGGTTTACACTAGTTTGTACCGGCTGTTACCAGTCTGAACTGGTCTGAAATGGTTTAAATGGTTAATCTGTTTGTTTTAATGAAACTTGTATCAGTTAATTAATGTTGTCTGATTTCAGATCAGTGAAACCTCCTCCACAGAGACCTTCGGTCAGGTCCGGATCAGGACCAGGTACACACACACACATAAACCCTGTACTTGTGAGGACCCTTGTTGACATATTATATACCATAAAACCAAGTCTGAACTCGCTCACATCCCGAACATGCTGACACACTCACACCTGAAGGTTTTTAACAGTGTGATGGAAATTGTTGTTTTCAGATAAACACCAGGAGGTTTCCTTTCTGTCAGTTTTATTCAAGGAACTCACTGAAACACACACACATCAGAGAGCTGTCAACACTGTCTGACCTCTGACACACGGTGTTTTAAAAGGACACTCTCAGTAAATTTATCTTAAATCCATTTACATTTCAATGCAGACCGTTATACGTTGTAAAACATCACAGCTAGTGATGATCAGAACAAATCGTAAAGCATCTTAAACATTTACCTCTCTGCGACCTCCTACTCCAAAGAGTCCTAAAAGTTACAGGACTGTTTGGAGATGATATTTATTACATTTACTCCCTTTTAGCATTTAACGTAATAAGAATACAAACATTTCATGTAACTTCAGCAGAACTTCAGAAGTGAATGAGATAAAAAATTTAAGAAATAAACATTAAAGGAATAATATGAAAAAGTATGTAATAAAACAATCATGCAAATCAAGGGTGTTTTATAATTAGTAGGTTAAACATTTTAACCTTAAAGAATCAAAGTGAACTATCATAATTCTTTTTATTTTTACTAATTCTACAAATATTTTACTTATTCTACCAATGTGGAGACTGTGCACCTTTAATTTGTTAGTAGTCAACTCAAAAATATGAAAGAAAACTCAAATTACACTTCATGTGATTTCCAAAGAAGAGGAAGAAGAAGGTTTCACACCGTCCAGGTCTCAGGGATCGATTCACATGCTGTCCACACACGTGTTGTTTCTGAGATCCTAAACCTTCATCAGAAGGCGTCCGGATGACGGTGTTATGTCTTCCTTTGTGGTTCCCATCATGGTTGCACACCGTCCAGCCGGGGATATGTGTTTCCTCCTCTCAGGCCTGACTGTCTCTGGTAGTTGAAATGACAACAGGACGACGAAGACATCGAGCAGAACCACGCCTCCATGTTCTCTCGGCCCGTCACCCCTTCAGCGCCATCTGTTGGTCGTCCTCGATGAGTGTTTGGGAGTCTAGTGGTTCTACGTGGCCTCAGGGACACAAGGCGGGGGAAAGCTCGGTTCACTCACTGATCTCGATCTCCACCTGGTTTGAGGCTGTCTGGTTGCCTCTTGTTTTCTAATAAACAGCGTGAGGCAAGCACTTGTCCTTCTGTGAGTTTTCTTCCAGACTCCGTGGGAAACACTCAGCATCAGAGTATTAGCGGAGTGAGCAGTTTGTCTCTGAGCATGCAACTTTAATCCTGCTTCAGGGTCAGCACTATCTCACCACTGGAACGAGGACGGGCTCGTCTGGAGGACACTCAGATGAAAATCCATTTCCACTCCAAAGCATGGTTTACCTCTCACTGAGCTCCTCCCCCACCACAGAGGGGTTTTAAGAGCCTGTCCAACTTTAAAATGAGCAGCAACATGAAGATCTGTGTTTCTGTTCAGGACCCTGAAGATCCTGATGTCATGAGGAATCTCACTGCCTCACCTCTGACCTTTACAAACTCTCACTGTTTTATCTCTCTGTTCCTCATGAACATTAGCTCTTTAACTAACTCCACCACAACTGAGATGTTGGTTAATGTCCCTGCCACATAAACAAATATTCAGAATCAGCTTTATTGCCAGGTATGTGCACACATATGAGGAATTCGACTCAGGATTGTACATTGCTCACGATGTGCTTACTTACTACAAAAATACCATAATACAATAATAAAATAATAATAAAATAAAATCAGACACAAACTACAGAATAGACGACACTAATATACACACTATGAACAAAACAATATAGACATATTGACTAATGATCAGAGTGCAAAGGATGCAAGAGTAAACTATTATTCTCATTATGTACATGTTGAAGGTGGATATGATATACAGGTACACATACATGTACACAGTGTGATGGAGCATAGTGCAAAGGATGCTGGAAAAAATAAATAAGACCTATGACCTTATGACCTGAGGGAGGTGTATTGGTATACAGTAAAATAAAGTGTGTTCTTCTTCTCTCTCTGTAGGGTCACAGTGCAAATCCCCCCAAAGTCCGGCTCCTCCAACACCCAAACCCAGAAGCACCTTCTCTGTAAGTCCTCAAACACATCAGCAGAGGTCAGAGGTCAACACTGAGGGGAAACACTGGCTGTAATCTTAAGCAGCGGGCGGCCAGTATGTAGTACATAACCTCATACTGCGTTTCATAGTCTGGAACGGGCTCAGCCAGGTTCTGGTTCTGGAAAGTAAACAATAGGAGGAAAATAAATGGAAGAAATACGTGGAAAAAGCCAAAAATATGACCACTTTAATGATATATATCTATTACACTTTGACATATTTTCACCAATAATTATATCCATCTCCACAACCATTTTCCTCCCCCTGAAACATTTATTTGCATCACAAATTAGATTCAGATTCATTCTTTATTGTCAGTAGAGGAAATTTGCTTTTACAGTCTGTACAAAGAGCACCTTAAATATGAACTCTCCACACAAACTACACATATATAGACATATATGGACAATATACACATATCTACATATAACATATATGTACAATACACATGTCTACACATAACACAAAAGTGACATCATTCATCTTCTACTTGTCTGTAAGTTTAACGGTCTTTAAACGCAGGAAACAAAACTTTTTGTGGAGCAGCTGTCTGTATCTACGGCCAGATGGGAGAAGCGTGACGCATGAGTTGAGAGGGTGGCTGTGATTTTGTACTATGGTAGTTGCTCTACGTGCAGTGGCAGTATTAATGAGGGCTGGCAGGTTGGGAGTGGGAAGACCTATTATTTTGGAGGAGGTGTTAGTGATTTTAAGAAGCTTATTCTTATTGGTGAGAGAGAGCATGGTGAAGTAGCAGGTAGCACAGTACAAGAGGATGGGTTCAATGATACTACGGTACAGGAGAAGCAGTATATGTGGTTTGACTTAGAGAGTCATTTACGGCGGGATTTACGGCGTGTGTCCAGGATGAGATCCTTGCCAGTTTTGCACTTCCTGAGCTGCTGGCAGACATCTTCTACTGTGGGAAAGATGAAGTGTGGCTGCTCAGGGGTGGGTAGGCTCCTGAGCAATCTTTCACACTCAGTGGTGAAGTTCCTGTTGTCAAACCTGGCATAAAAATTGTTGAGGTCTCTGGAGAATGAGTTGGGGTCAGTGGGTGCAGGCGAGCTAGCTTTTGGCGTGGTGCCAGTTAGTGTTTTGACTTTGTTGGAATGCTTGTTGTTTCTCTTTGAGTTTTATTTGGTGGGTCATCAATGGTCTGGAGTTGGGATATTTTCTTACAGTTTTGACCGGGATGGTGGTTGCCATGGAGAACTTGATGTAGTCAGTTATGGCGTCGGTTTTTATCTAAATTATTATTCAACCAAAAACTGCGTGACAGAATACTATTTAAAAGACGGAAATATTACACTCCTGTTTTGCCAAACTGAACAGGAAACAACAGAGCGAACCTGCAGTGCACCTCGACGCAGTAAGTGTTTATGATGTTTGTTTAAATGTATGTTTAAATAAGAGTAGAGCTACCAAGTGTGCAATCTTGAGAGGCCCTTAAGGCGGTAGTAGGTCTCGGTGGAAATCTCTCCAGGTGGTATCATCGTTGATCGGAACTGTTGCAGTACTGCCAAACTTGGTCAGCAGCGCCGCCTTCAGGCCTGTATAGCAGTTGGCTTGCTCCTCATCCATTGCAGTATAGGCCTCCAATGCCTTTCCAAACAGCAGGGGAACAAGTCTGCATTCCCACTCACTCTCTGGCCGTTTCCACATTTTGGCAATGCGTTCAAATAGCAAATTATTTTCAACGTTCTCACCCATCTGATATGGCGGAATTTTTGGCTCATTATAATGCCTCCATTCTGACCTTGGCTGGTCATCTCTGCCGCTCGAGTCATTGAACTGGAGAGAGGTGTGCGTGTGTTTGTGTGTGTGTGTGTTTATGCACTGTCCGCACTCAGTGATGGAGCCACTGCACATTCTGACTACACATTTGTATTTGTTGTTGGTAGTAGTACAGATGCTTGCTCGCTACATTATGTTTGTTACAGATTGTTTTACGCAAGGTTAAATTAGAAGAAAATGTTCCAGGTTCTTACATTTATTGTCCTTCTGTTGAATTTTCTGCTTTCCAACACCGGGAACCGGCTACTGCAAAATAAATCTGTTAACAGCTTCATACTGCGTACTACTATGAAACGCAATATGCTATATGTAGTACATACTGCGCTCGCAGGTAGTATGTAGTAGGGCTGGGCTATAAAACAGTAATGATAATTATATAATTTTCCTCATTAACAAAATAACAAATGTTCAATAAGTGTTCAATTTAAATCATTTGAATCAGGAACGAATCAGCACTTAATGTTTCTACTAAGATATTTATCCTCGTGCATATTTATTGAAAACAGATTTTCTCAGAATAGTTCAGAATGTTCTGCTTCAGATATGTAAAGTGATCCACTCTTTGGCATCAAGTGTTTGTTCTGAGCAGAAAGAAAAGTTTAAAACCACATTAACTTTCACTCAGGAGCCAAAATCAGCCTTTAAACACATTTATCCTGAGAATTATAGATATTTAATGATATGAAATACTTTTATAGTGACATAACATAACATTTTTGGCCGTATGGCCTTGCTCTGTAGTAGACAGTTCAGATTACAGCAGCTCAGAGGGCAGAGGTCAACATTGAGGGGAACACACAGTCAGCAGCAGCAGAAGGAAAATTTGTGTGTGGATTTAAAGTTTTTCACTGCAGGTCGACACAGTGACGCTCAGAGTTTGTGATTTTAAGACATAACGTTCAAAATATCAACAACAAAGTCTCTGATTCAGAAACGATGACACAGTAACTCTTAATCTGCACGACGACGAGGAGTTCATCCAAAAATCAGTTGTCAGTTTCAATTAGGTCCTGCAACAAATCCAAATTTAATTAAAACTGCAAGCAGCATTGGGCGGTACAAAATCCAATGGAAATAAATGGGATTTTCCGACTGTATTTGAGCTTCAATCACAGCGCCACCTATAGGCCGAATTACACCAAATATTTGGGGTGTCATCAGGGGCCCATGGGGAACAATTGCTCCAAATTTGGTTTAAATCAGACTTGGTTATGGAGCTATAAAATTAATGTAAGTCAATGGGATTTTTTTTGAATAGCGCCAGCTAGTGGCTAACTGCACCAAATTTTGCACAGCTCCTCAGGGGGGCATAGCACATAAGGTCCTCAAGTTTGGTGTTGATCGGCCATTCTCAACCTAAGATATGACACCACTTCCAATTTATAGCGTTTTTCGCAAACATTTGTTAACGTATAATTGTAACAGTTTTTGTCGTATCAAAATGTCCTACAAACTTTCACTGGACCTACTCTATGAGTTTCCCGTCCCTAGCAGTTACCGTTTAGGCCTTAGTATGAGTTTTATGTACAGAAGAAAAAAAGAATAATAAAAATCCTAACAATTACAATAGGGTTCCCAGCTCCGCTGGTACTGGGAAACAAGATACCTTGCATTCGCAGGTTCCCAGCCCACTCTGGGTTGGACCCCTAAAAACTCTGTTTAGTCCAGTAACGGGGAAGAGAGAGAGGCCACAGGGAATTAGAGTTTTTGTTAATGCAGTTTGGTTTAGTTTATTGTCCTCTAACCGACGCAGCTTAAATCCTGCTGCATGTAGTAGTAACGTGTGTGTGTGTGTGTGTGTGTGCAGAAGCAGAAGCCTAAAAGAGTGAAGGCCATCTACAACTGTTTTGCTGATAATCCAGACGAGCTGACGTTTACTGAGGGGGAGGTGATCGTGGTGGAGGGGGAGGAGGACAACGAGTGGTGGGTGAGTAAACATCATCAGTGCCGCCTCCTGCAGGTTTATCAGAGATGTGACTTCCTCTGTGCTCAGCTGGGCTCTCTGCGCTTTTCAGGTCGGCCACGTTGAAACGGATCCGGCCAGGCGAGGAGTGTTTCCTGTCACCTTCGTTCACTTCATCACCGAGTGACGTCACAGGGAGATAATTTACGCTGTTCACTTCCTGTTCTGTCCTCTATCACGGCTCTGTCTGCGTGGACACAGAAAGGACAAAGACACAAAGTGAATCCTCTGGATCCAGACCTGAACCTGACTGCACCCCCACGATCCCCTGAAACAAAACACTGAAGCTGCTTTTTGTTGCACCTGACGGCTTCATGTTGTTCCCACACCATGACTCCATCTTTGTTTTGTTTTTTACTTCCTTCTTCAAACTCACAGAACTTTATTTTAAATTCTAGTAGAGATGAAAAACTTTCCAAAGATCCCAAATGTGTCTAAATGTTTTTAAAATGATTCAGCCAACAGAAAAATAATCTTTCACTGGATGGCAACAACAAGGAGCTTCAGTGAAGATCTGCAGCAACACCAAACATCAGATATCTAACTGCTGCTGCTGCCTCTTGGATCCAACGACAGGAGATCTGAACGCTCCTGCACTCAGTGATAAACGACAGAGTCCAGACCTGAACCCCCTCCGACACGAGCCGGACCTGACCTCGCTGATGCTCTGGTGTCTGAACAGGATCAAATGCCTGCAGCTGCTTCAACATCTGGAGGACGGACGTGGAGCCGTCCACATACTTTTGGCCACGTGGTGTATCTGCTGTGTGAGAAGCTCTCAGTGTGCTGCTGGGATCAAACCTGTGACTCTGTGTTTCCAAAATGTTTTCAGGAGATGATTCTTATTCTAAATCTTCTTCTTCTTATTTGAACGTGTCGGCTGAAGGGAAACTGTGTGGCTGTTTATGAGAGGAGGGTTAATGTTAACGTCCACTTTGATTTGACTCATTAAAAACAGCTGAAACGACTCCGCTGGGCTTTTTAATGGACACACTCTGTTTTACTGTCTTCTTTCTTTCTTTTTACTTTCTTCTTCATATAATTTCAACTCTCCTCCCTCTTTTAAATTCATCCTTTCTACATTTATTCTTTCTTTACTTTTTCCCCCTCTTGACCTGCAAATAATGATTCTTTTCCATCTCCAGAGCTCAAGCTCTGACGTCTGCAGAGCTAGCAGGTTTATTGCCAACTACATTTTTACATATGAGGAATTTGCCTCGGTGTGTTAAATAGAGAGAAAGTCAAGCGATCCAAAATGTACAAGTGTAAAAAATAATACAACAAATAAACAGGATATTTGACAGGAATGTGCAAAAATTCACCTCCAAAACTCACTCAAACCATCAAAACACAGAAGTATAATTTGTTAAAAATGTTGTGAAAAATAGCAAAAAGTAATGTTAACTGACAAATGAAAATGCTTTGAGAAATGTTTGTTTGCACAATAAGAAAACCTGCAGTGCAGTTTAAATATAGACGAAACAAATGTGCACTATCCAAAAAAAGTACCCCCAGACCTCCCCATATATTTCATCATCACATCTGAGCCCTGATGTCCACTTTTCAACACAAAGTGACGCCCTTGTAACAACAGGAAGTGTTCTATACAGAAATAAACTTAATTAATCAGACATTAATCAGTGACCCACACAAAGCTGTCTCTTGATTTAAGTTAAAATGTTTCAACATTCCTCAGAATGTAAAGACAGATAAACGGTATGAAAACCTTCTAGCTGTGTTTTCCTCTGCTGTTGTTGCTGCAGCGGTCTCTGTGACGGTGGGACCAGAGGGCTGTTTGAGAGGGCGGCTGGCCGGCCTCTCCAGCTCCTCCCACGGATTGGTCCAGACTTCCCCCACCGTCACTTGCAGAGCTCCTCAACTCCGAAAACATTCAAGCACATTTTTGTTCCGCCATCACTTCTTGTAAAACTGTCAATATTCAAAATGTACACAGTTGATTTCTCACCTCAAAACTTCTCAGAAGTGGATTTAGTGATGAAATAATGTGAAAATTGTAATATCTAAAACTTTCGGTTGCTGGCCTCTGTCTGGCACGAGCCCTGATGACGCAGTGAATAGTGATGATTCACTCTGACCATTCAGGAGCGTGCCGTGGTTTAACATGACATTTTAGTATCGCCTCAGCTCACTTGGAACCTCGACGGAGGTGATAAAAAAAAGTACCTGGTAGCAGGTACAGGTACAACCTTTCCACAATGGAAAACCTAAAAAAGGAGAGTAGAGTCGAGGCGAGCTGCTACTGTGCAGTGGAAAAGGGGCTATACACTGCTACTCTGTCTGCACGATCAGGGTATGGCTGCTTCTCTCTCACCCGTGTCACCTTCCTGTTGTTGTCAGACAGTTTGAGGTTTCTATTTGTCTATAAATCTATTTGTGTCCAGTGTGAGTTCACAGAAATCTGATGGAGAGAACGAGACACAACACAGCAGCAGTTTATCATCAGACACATCTGAAGGTTTATTCTTTGTTTGTGTGCTGATGTTGTTCATTTCTATAAAGTTTAATGATGATGCATTTAGTCAGTAATGTTTGAATGAATAAATACAACTATCAACTTTGTATTAAGAGAAACTGACTGTGTGCTGTTTTGTCATCATGAGTCAGATTGAATCCACACTTACACTTCCTCAGACCAGGTTTTAACCTCTGCTCTCCACCATGGTCCACCCTGGAGGAAGAAACACAGTCAGAGTGATTTTCTATCCAACATGAGTCCTAACTGCTGTTCAACATGAAGCAGTGTTCCTCAGTTTGTCAGTGTGACAGAGAAACTGGCTGAAACACACATTTATTTTCTTAATGAGTCCCTAAATCACCAATGTGCAGCTAATCCACCTGCTGTCCCTTGCTGTGATGCCCGTCCTTCCTCTTCCTCTCACCAGCTGACTCATCTGCGTGACAAAATAGTCTCAAACACAGTCAGATCAGCTAACATTAGCTAGCGAGTCAGGATGGGTGGATGTAGTATTATGAAGCTTTGGGGCTTCAAACTCAGCAAACACAGTTGCATCTCGTGGCACTTTTAGACTGGGGCTGAAACGCCACCATAACTCGCTAATAATAATAATTTTAGTCTTGTGTACAACAAAAGTCCAATATTGTTAAATATCCATACTTTCGTTCCTAATTTCTGCATTAAACATAGATGATAGATTGTGTAATATGTCACAGTTAAATAATTATGCGTTGTCCAAAAAAGCTTAGGTCTAGACTACATATAAAGGCTACATATAAAGACTTAGCTGACACAAACCTTTTGGTGTAGTTTAGTCCGAGTGTCACCATTTGTTTTTAAACTTTATGGTTGATATTTATGACATTTCATACATATGATGTGATTGGACAGTGTTAATCATTAAATTAGCTGATAACTTTGTTACATTAGTACAGCTGCATCTCAAATTTGAATATGGTGGAAGTTCATTGTGAGCACCAGAACCAGACTGAGAGATTAAAGACTCAGGAAACTTTTGCAGGAGTTAATTAGCTGATTACAGCTCTTCTCAGGTCATCCAACAAAGGTTGAAGTCAAGGGCAACTGGACTTGGTTGAAGATACTGGAAGACGTTTCGTCCCTCATCCAAAGGACTTCTTCAGTTCTTCAGTCCTTGTCAGGTCGACATTTCTGTACATTAAATAATTTAATATAAAATTCTAATACATTTTGGGATACTAAAGTTTTGATTCCATGACCTGTAAGCCCTAATCATGAAGTTTAAACCGAAGAAAGTCTTGAAATATTTCACTTTATAGCATGAATCTAAAATATATGATGGAGCTAACTAACCTACTGATTGTCATCAGGAGGAAATGTTGTCATACTTTCTCATGTCTTTCTAATCATTATCCCCATATTTCTTTATTATTGTCCTTTCTTATCCCACTAATGTGCTGAGATTAGCTGTAAAGCTCCCTGAGATAATTATTTGATGCAAGCTCAGGCACACTGTATTGAACCTGTGTGCTTCACATGATGGAAACAAGCCTCAGAATCATCTGCCCATCTCTAATAGTGGGGTAATAAATGCATTTGACTTCATGCGGCGCTGCGCAGTACTGACTTAACGTGATGCCTGCTGGACTTAAAATAAGGCATGCTGGTTAGAAATTAGGGGTGGGGGGAAAATCGATGCAGCATAGTATTGCGATATTTCCTGTGCCAATACTATATCGATTCACAGACTCAAAGAATCGATCTTTTATTATATAAATTGTACATGAGAATTTAACTTTTTGGTAGTAAAATCAATTCAATTGCTCATTCAGTCCACTAGATGGTGCTGTTTGTTTTCTGGTGAGGTCAGCGGGGTGACTGTCAGCTTGCAGGAGCATGTAGATAAAATAAACAGCGTCAGAGAAAGAAATCAGAAATGCACCGTCTGCATTTAAATCAAGTGTATGGACTTTTTCAGATTTTTTAAGGAGGGCACAACTGAGATAGATATAACACATAGGATTTTTAAGGAGTGTTGCATGAAGATAAATTACTCTGAGAATACCACAAACATGAGGGCTCATCTCACATGCCATCTTCCAGAGTTAGCGTTAGCCAAGAACAGTAAAGCTAATGCTAAACCAGCTCCACTGAAAAACCAACCAACACTGAACACATAGCTTGACAAAGCAATCTCCCAATTCAGAGCGAACGAAGAAAATATCTCAAGCCATCGCCTACTTGAAAATGAGGCTTTTGTCACTAGCTAAAGACACTAGAATCAAGGTATGTGACTCTGTCGTGCCGTTTTTTCACAGATACAGCCGTGTCCAAGCTCTACAGAGAAGTGAAACTTAAGGTTTGGGAAAGTTTGAAAACAGCAGACCATGTTGCATTTACGTGGGATGCATAGATGTCACTGGCAGTGGATTCCTATGTGACTAATACAGCTCATTATCTCACAGAAGATTGGCAACTGCTGGCTCACGTTCTCCAAACTGGAGCAGTACATGAAAGTCACACTGGTGAACATTGCTCACCTCTTGCAAATTGCAGCATGGGAATGTGGGATTCTAGATGAAAACCTGGTGTTGTCACCGACAACGCTTTCAATATGGACGTTTCCGTTCTGTTAGCGGGACACCTCCACATCAAGTGATTGGCGCACACACTGAATCTGCCGTCGTAGCGGGCATTAAATCTGCCAGTAGTGTCCAGGCTCATGGGGAGAGTACGGCGAATAACCTGCTTTTTCAACAAAGGTGTGGTGGCAAACCACACTTTGGAGAAAAACCAGAAAGTGTTACAGCTCCTGACCCATAAATTGAAAACTGATGACATGCTACGGCGGTTTCTTGAACAGAAGCCTGTCGTTTGTGCGGCACTGTTGTCTCCTGAAGTAAGAACGTGTAGCACAGATGTCTTCACATTGAATGAGTCTGATAGTGGAAACGCTGAAGAAATTGTGCAGGCATTGAAGCCGATGCAAGTGGCGACCACTGTGACGTCTGAGGAAAAGAATCTTACTCTCTCACAGTTGTTGTATGACACACAGGACAACATAAAACCCTGCCATTCCTGTCCCCAGAGGAGAGACAGGAAACCTTGGCCAGAGTGGTTGCAGAGGCTGTAACCCTTCAGGTAATAAAACATTTAAATAATAGAAGCTGAATACATTTTAACCCACATGGTACTGCTCTACTAATATTGTAGTTATATTATTAAAGATAAAAAAATTAAAATAAAGACAAATTCCAGCCAAGATGAGGAAGTCATGTGGGCTAACACACCTACTTGGTCAGACTTATGTGGTGATGTTGGAGCCCCACCCAAAATCATTATCTGCCATAGCTGAGGAGGAAGTGAAAAGATACCAGGAGGTGACACCACTGGCACTCACAGAAGAGCCACTAAATGGAAATCAGATGAGCGAGTCTATCCTTTCCTGGCCACGCAAAAAGATACCTTTGTATCCCCGGTACTAGCGTCTCAGCCAAAAGTGTCTTCTGGACA